AATGGTTGTAGGGCCCAAGTGTCCCATCATGTTAACTAAACCCCATAATGTATTAGCTCAACCGGAAGCAGATGATGATATTATTTACCCTGCTTGTGTTGTTACTAGATCAATGGGAAAAACAGGTGAGAGTAATCCTGTCTTCACTAAGGTTGCTGATCCCAAGACCAGGACCCCTTCAGTAAAGGAGTGGGAGGTGGATCTTGAGGATTCTTTTATGACTCGACTGGATGATGAGAGTGAGGCCGTAGTAGAAGCCCCGCCGAACCTAAATCACAAGGAAAGTGAAGGTGAGGAGGCTGAACTATCTGTACCTTGCCCGCTTGTCTCCAGTGCGCCAGTTGTCGAGAGTGAGGCCGAAGTAGCTATGACTCCATTTTATTCCGATCAATCGGGAAAAGAGATCAAGCTACTAGGTTCTTGCCCGCTCGCTGCTGAGTCTGAGTCATTGCCCTTAAGTGTTGTACAGACTACTGATCCTAGTTTAAGTAAGTGTATTTCTGAGGCTCCTGATAATATTGATGCATTGGAGGAAGGGACGGGTTTCTTCTTCAAGGATCGACTTCTGATGAGAAGGTGGAGACCCAAGGGAACTCCCTCTTCAGAGGATTGTGAGATTAGAACCCAACTCGTTGTTCCCAATGATTATCGTAGGCAGGTCCTGCAGGCTGCACATGATGACCCCATGGGAGGTCATCAAGGTATCACGAATATGTACCATAAGATAAGTAAATATTTTTTCTGGCCAAAGTTAAAGAAAGACGTGGTCAGATACTGTCATAACTGTATACCCTGTCAAATTGTTGGTAAACCAAATCAATCTGTACCTAGAGCACCATTGCAACCTATTGTAGTTCCTGATGAACCATTTACTCATGTTGTAATTGATTGTGTGGGTCCTTTACCTAAGACTAAATCGGGTAACATGTTTTTGTTCACTCTCATGTGTATGACTACTAGATTTCCTGAAGCTTATGCTCTACGGAATACCAAGGCTCATAATCTCATAAAGTGTCTTGAAAGATTCTTTTCGTTGTTTGGAATGCCTAGAGTTATTCAGAGTGATAATGGGGGAAATTTTGTTTCTAAAGTTTTCAGAACTTTTTGCGAATCCCGAGGGATTCGGCACAAATTGTCCAGTCCATATCATCCACAAAGCCAAGGTGGACTTGAACGTTTCCACCAGACTTTGAAACAAATGCTGAAGACAACCGGAGAAACTCATCCACGTAATTGGGATGAGAATCTCCCCCTTGTGTTGTTTGCTGCTAGAGAAGGGCTACAAGAGTCATTGGGCTGTTCACCCTTTGAACTAGTGTTTGGTCACCAAGTAAGAGGTCCTCTTAAAATGCTACAAGAAAAGTTGTTGGGAGATGTCTCTGTTCATCAGAGCGGATTGTACTTGAGCGAGGTCAAGGCTAAGTTGTGTCGGGCTCGTGAGTTGGCGAAAGAACATCTGGGAAGGACTCAACAAGCCATGAAAGTACGATATGACAAGAAGTTCAAGGCTAAGCTAAGGTCGTTTGATGTCGGAGATTTGGTGTTGGTGTTGAAACCTCGTATGGGGACTTCCATGTCCCATAAGTTCGCAGGACCCTACCAAGTGGTAGACAAGGTGGGAGACCTAACTTATAAACTAATTAACCCTAATCTTTCAGAACCCCAAATGACTGTGCACATTAACAGATTAAAAGCTTATGTTGGACCTGGTGTAGTAGCTTGTTTTAGTCGGGAAGAGTTACCACCTGAGGATAATTGTAGTGAGGGACATGTTGTTAATATCCCACTTCTCAGTTCCAGTTCCAATGGCAGGGAGATGCTATGTCATTTACAGGAGGAACAACGTGATGAGTTCCAGGTTCTGCTGGACAACCATACATCTCTGTTTGGGGAGGTTCCTACCCAGACCCACCTCATCACACACGACATTCAGCTCCTGGACAGCACCCCCATTCGACAACATCCGTACCGAGTGAATCCCGAAAAGAGGAAAATTATGCAAGCAGAAGTGGAATATCTGCTCCAGCATGATTTCATTCGGCCAAGTCAAAGTACTTGGAGCTCTCCGTGTTTGTTAGTGCCAAAACCAGATGGAACCTGGAGATTGTGCGTGGATTACAGGAAACTGAACAAGAACACTACAGTGGACGTTTTTCCTTTACCCTTGTTGGAAGAATGTATAGAGTCCATAGGTCATGCCGAATATGTAAGTAAGCTTGATTTGTCAAAAGGGTATTATCAAATTCCATTAACAGAGTATGCTAGAGAGGTTACTGCTTTTGTTACACCTGATGGTGCGTATGAATTTAATGTCATGCCATTCGGTTTGAGAAATGCACCTGCTACTTTTCAAAGACTTATGAATTTCTTACTCAAGGATGTGCCAGATTGTAGGGCCTACCTTGATGACATTGTTTTGTACAGTAAGAATTGGGCCGATCATCTCTTAGGCCTTAAGAACTTGTTTACAGTGTTAGAAAACGCAAAGTTAACCATAAATATGAATAAGTGTAGTTGGGCAAAAGGTACGATAACTTATCTTGGCCACGAGGTAGGCCAAGGTAAGATTATCCCCTTACAAGATAAGATTCAAGCCATTGTGGACTACCCAGTGTTGACCAATAAGAAAGGAGTCCAACGGTTTATTGGTATGTGTGCATACTATAGGCGTTATTGTAGGAATTTTTCAACAGTAGCTGCTCCTTTGACAAACTTGTTACGCAAGCAAGTAAAGTTTCAGTGGACACAAGATTGTCAGAATGCTTTTCAGAACCTAAAGGGCATATTGTCCACCTCACCTATTCTTGCTAGTCCCCAATTTGATAAACCATTTATATTACACATTGATGCGTCAGATGTTGGGATAGGTGCTGTGCTTATTCAAGTTGGTTTAGACCAGATTGAGCATCCTGTGTATTACTATTCCAGAAAATTTAATGCAGCTCAGAGAAATTATTCCGTGGTAGAAAAGGAGGCGTTGGGTCTTATATTGTCAATCAAGAAGTTTGAGATTTACTTATCAGGAAATAAAGTGTTAGTATTTACAGACCACAACCCCCTTATCTTTATAAATATGATGAAAGTCAAGAACCAACGAATTCTGCGATGGTCATTGTTTTTGCAGGAATTTAATGTAGAAATCAAACATATTCCAGGCAGACAAAATGTTATTGCTGATGCTTTGTCAAGAAGTTTTGATGTACCATAAATGAAATGTTTCTTTTTACCTAACATTTTTACTTCTGAAAAAATGCCATTGATCTTCAATCCATTGCATTTTTTTTCTTGGAGGTGGAAGTGTTACGTACCCTTATAAGATACGTAAGTGAATATATTAATATGTACATTTATAATTGTATGTAAATTACAAGCATGTATATTATTATACTTATGTTCTATACAAATGCACATTCATGTTACAGTGTTGGCGTTAGGCCCAGCGTATCGTGGGAATGATTGTTTATTTCTTTGTGTGATCAGTTTTCCCACGGGAACTAATGATTTATATGTGATCATCAGTAGGTAACAGAGTGAAATAATAATTGAGTGAACTGTATCTGGCAAATTGTCGTGGGATCGTCCGTTGCTGGGGTGTGCATGCCATTATGCTATTCTGTATGCATATTTTAATTACTATGTAAAGAACTATTACCTTTTGTTTGTGTATATCAAAATGTACTAATTATTCCTTAAGTTAGTTTAAGATTACTCTTGTCACAATGTATTGCTCCATTGTTGAAATATTAATAATTGTAACTTTGGCAATTTATTCGCGGGGCGAGGCAATCTGTTTTGATTCTCGCGTGATCTTGTTTAGTGGCTGAGCAGAAGCCAGGGAGATAACAACATTTTGGAGATAAGTCATTCTTTTGTTCTATAATAGCCATACTTATATATTATTAATTTAATGTCTGGAAGTACAGTGATATTTTTAATGTGATATATTATGACCATATAATCATCTGTTTTGCCTTTGAGATTTATTTAATATAATATTATATATGTATCTTAGTCTTTATTCTTCAGTCCTTTGAAGATTCTATTTTATGCTCAGTACCTGTCAAGGGGTTATACTGGTGATTCGCTATTGAGAACAGCAGTTGTGTCGTATCCCTAGACTTATTAAAGTTGGCTGCTGTAGGATCACGAGCCGTAACGTACGATAGGTAACAATCAGCACGTGCAGATTCCTAACTGACGTACTCACCGCTTGCGTACGATCTTCCACTTCTCTCATACCATAAATAATATGCTTAAATTAGCACCTTTACATCACTTCCGTCATTTCCCGTTGTCCGGGAAAGAAAATTTATTAAGCTAATCAAGGCTTCCTAATGGCCAACAACTGATTTTTCATAGGATGCAACTCACAACAGCTGACGTTGTTGTTGTTTTAGATTTAGCTACTCAAAGCGAAATGTCCATGTAGCACGGGCTATGGTGAGCCCATAAACAGCTGACTTACTACTAGGTGCCTGTATAATGCTAGGGGAACAGTGGCATCAGGTGTAAAGAATGTCTCTGTCTTGCCGGCAATAAAAAAGAATGGAACCATTCGCCTGTGAGCCGACTGCTGTGACAACTGCTTGCTACACCTACTGCTCTAAAAAAAAAAAAAGTTTTCTAAATAATTTTCTTTAATTTCTCTCTAGTCTATTTTTTCTTACCTAATCTTTTCACAGAACCTTTATCATCATCACACACCATTTTTTTCCTTGCAACTATCTCTCGTTCACTTCGTATCCATAAAATTCAAATATTCTTCTTATGGTCAACTCTCGTCACCTCACCACCCAGCCGTTCGTGTCATCCATCAACCAGTTTGTACAGCTCCATACACTTCCTTGACATTGTAATCCCAACGTTTCATTAACTAGTTCAGCATCTCTTTCACTAGTGTATTATGTATGTACTGAAAGAATCTGACATATATATAGCTGCTTTATGAATGTATTCTCAGTTAACTATGCGCATAATCAATTTGTGTTCCATGGTTACAGGTATCGCTAATTACTCCGTGTACATCGGTGCCTCAGATATTGACCAGGAGGGCGACTGGAGATTCATAGACGGAGAGTCTGTGCCAATGGGTTCTCCCTTCTGGGGCAACATCGGCTTTGACTTTCAGGAACCTTCAGGGGGAACGTCGGAGAACTGTGCCTGTCTGTACGCCCCTGATCACTTCTTCATTCATGATGTCTCATGCGAGGATTTGATTGGTGCCATATGTGAATACAATTAGTAACAATACCAAGTTCAAGTTCAAGTATGTTTATTGAGACAAGAAAGAAATACATTTTAAAGGGATAGAGTAGCTTAGGCTATTTCTACCCCCCCCCCCCCAAACAATACCAAGATGGTAGGGATCTGTAGCTAATATGGGAAGGACTCATTAACTTGTAATATTTGAGCACGAAAAACAATAAGCCTGGCTAGTAGAGATCTTGGTCTGCTATGGTAAATAAATATTGAATTTGTTTTATGATATTTTAGGACCAACAATTGGAATCACAGTGGAGTTAATATTTTCAATGTGATAAGTCGTTATCTAGATTTATGGCACAGATGGTGATCCTGTTTGAGATAGTTTCAAAGGTCTGCCATGTATGCCAATTATTTTATGTATGAGCTTGTCAACAATAAAATTATGTTTACTCCCACAACTATGCTATAATTTGATGAACACAAAAATAAGTTCTAGATTTCATCACACTAAAGTTTACGCTTACTGCAATATATCTGAAATAACTCTTTATATCACTTTAAAATATTCAAGGAACAATTACGGAATATTTAAAAACAATCCATATGCAAAATACATAGCATAAACAAATACTAAAACACAATAAGTCGCAACTGAATAATATATACTAAATGGTCAGGACTTCTCTAAAATTGTACTAGATCACTCTCAAATTGTGTGAAACATTTCATTTATTTGTTACTGTCTTAATAGTATTCAGAAAGAATTAATATTACTCAGTACTAAAGCTAGAACGGCAAAAGATTAACTTGTGGCATCTGGTGGAGGAGCGTCGGTCGCAGGGCACCCGTCCTCTCCAGTGTTCTCAACGTCACTGAAGTGGTTTTTTTTTTTTTTTTTTTTTTTTTTTTTTTTTTTTTTTTTTTTTTTTTTTTTATTTTCTACCACAGACGTGGCCACACATTTACAATGCTAACCAGCATATATACATTTTCTTCTGTCCTCCATGGGCAGGGTTAGAGAAGTGTTAAACATACAGTTCAAGGGTTTATTGAACACTCAACCACAGAAGGTGATTCGGTGCTTTTAAAATGCTAAGCTAACCTACATACGTAAATACAAAGATACACAGATTTACGTACGCCCTACATAAAGTATTAGATGTGTCTTTTACATAGTGTCATTAATGTACATTCACAAAGGTGAAATGTAATTCTGATCAGCTTCCATATTTGCTTTATACCCATACATATACATACACACACACACACATACACATACATATATACACACATACATGCATTCACATACATTTGTCTCATTTACCCTGACAGGGTGAGGTAGCTGATAAAGAAACTAGTGTGCAATTAAGCACTTAATCACTGAAGGTGATGAAGGTGCTTTTACAAGCTCAGGTTATATAGTTACATCACATACATACATTGTATGATTGACACATTACATGGTCAATTTTGGATACAAGTCCAATATATCATCAAGTGTTCCAGTACTCATATAGTAACTACAGAGTTCAGCATACCTTAGCCCAGGAGGGCGAAAGTCAGTCAGTATGGGACATTCTACAATATAATGTTCAAGAGAGTGCATGTTTTCTCTTTCACAAAGTTGACACATTGTGTACTCGACATTTGGGTTTTGAGAAAGCTGCCAGATACGTCTATATCCCAGGCGTATTCTGGCCACTATAACATCACATTGCCGGGTTCTTGTTCTATTAGTCCCATATGTGAATGTCTCCTCACGATATCTATCATAATATTTAATGCTACAACTTTCAGGTCTTTGAGAATTTGTTAGGTCGGTGAGATTTTCATTAGATATTTGTTTAAGTATTCTCTTTGTCACTGCTAATGAAACACCCATATCAATTTCTACCACTGGTTTTCTGCAAGCTGACTTAGCAAGCATATCAACAGTGTCATGCCTTGAGATGCCAACATGTGATGGTATCCATAGGAATTTAATCTCAAATCTGTTTTCTTTGGCAGCTAAAACATTCATTCGAATATCACTGACTATTTTCTGGGTGTCACTACTATGTGCGTTCAATGCCAGGAGTGCACTCTGCGAGTCACAGTATATAAGTCCACTGCCTTTGTCTTTTAAAAATTCAGTGGCAAGGTATATGCCTGCAAGTTCGGTTTGAGTTGTACTTGCCCAGTCATTGACGCGTGGTGTACGGTTGGACCCACGAATAGAAAACAGGACAATATTTCAAATTTGTGAGCAATTATGATATGTAGTACATCAGTTTTTGACCTTAGCAGATTTATACGTCAAAATGCGAAGTACTACTCGAGAGAACGTCCAAGATCGATGTCTGTACATGTCTGCACCTGCATCGTATTAACAAAAGTAACGGTTTACAAATATTTACGTTTTCTATGTATCAGCTTCGATAAGTTTGAAAAGTTGCTTGGATTCATACGATTTTGGTTAGACTAAAAAGTTTAGATTTTGTACAGAGTGGCAAATCAAGAAAACGGGCTGGGTTCAGATCAACCTTCAGACTGCTGTAGGATTATTTTACGTCTTTCCCAAAAACTACGTTACTAAAATTAATACACTTTTTACAAATGATTTAAACTTCAAAATCTGTACCAGCAGCCAAGTGCAGACTATTTAACAAGCGGTGGCTAAATTAAACATTTCTCTTCAAAAGATCATGTTCCGCTGGCCGGAACAACGACTCGTTTCCACTGGTCACTCTCCGTCTGCTTTGATGTTTTGCCAACTGGAATTATTTTTTTTTAGATACATCTGCATTTGTTGCAGCCACCCTAGACAATATGAAGGGGAGTACAGTGTGTCAAAAAGCTAGCTACGTGATGCTAAAAATCCCCATCACACAGGATGGTTAGACATACAAAGGCATGTGATAAGCAGTCTGCACTGGCAGACTCTGGGTGCATTATGAGGATATCATCAACACAAGAGTGAATAAGGCAGCAGTGATACTGAAAGTCCCCATCTCACAGGATGGTTAGTCATACAGGGCCATATGTTCAGTAGCCTGCACTGGTAAATTTTGGGTGCAATATGACGATATCTTCAAGAGCACGAGAGTGAATGAAATAATTGCAAAGCTTCAGGTGCCTCTTGCCAATGGGTCTGAATGGTCTGATAACTGAGCATTCGGTGATGTAGTGTGGGAGATCATGTCCCGTTCCTGCTCACAGAGTTTGCACTTGGAGTGCTCAGGATTGGGAGATCCATCACCTGTAGCCACCTGCCACAGGTAACGGTAACCCAACCAGATCCTGGCAACCACTGTGTCCCACAATCTGGTAGACGTTTTGTGCTGCCCATAGATATAGGTTTCAGATCTGAACAAATCATAGCTTTTTATACTGGTGCTTTCAGGTCGTTGGGAGTCAGTAATTTCTCTCTTATCAGATCTGAGTGTTTGGAACAATATAGTTTTGACAGCAGAGATGGGGATTCCTGGGTCTAATTCAACTTCATCTTTGTTACAAGCTAATTTGGCTGCAATGTCTGTCATTATGATGCGTTATATTTATGTGTGGTATTCATATTTATATGTGGTATCCATACAAAGGAAATTCGAAACCTTTTACTGTGCAGCAATTAGGTCATCTATAATTGGTAGTATGAGGTTCTTGCTGTCGATCTTCAAGGAAAAATTTTCAATTGCTTGAAGAGTGGACTTTGCGTCACAAAATATTCCCAATTCCCGTCTTTGCCAGCAAGACGGGAAAGAAAAGACATGAGAGGAGCGGCAATGTTGATCAAAACCATTTTTTGTAAGACCATAACATTGAGTCAACAAACGTAAATTAGGACTTCATTGCAGCATTGAAAGAAAATAACAAATTGAGAGTTGTGGTGGTACTGGTGATGGCGATCTGTAACTCTTTAGAAAACAACAAGCGACCAGGCAAACTCTATATCTAGATTCTGCCTAGATATATTTTGTCTACATCTATATTATATACAGCTCTATAATATCTCTGTTATATAATGTCAGCTCAATATTGTCTTTCTCTGCTCTACAACGTCTTTCTCTGTTCTACAATAACTCAGTCTGATCTATAACGTCTCTCTCTCTACTCTACAACGTCTATCTTTGCTCTACACCGTCTTCTCTGCTTTACAAGGTCATTTTCTATGCTCAAGATATAACGTATTGAACAATTGTTGCCAAACATATTTCAAATCCCAGGCGGGAAAGCGCTATATACAGTGAGCAATGAGGAGACTTTGCCCCCTGGAGGTGATATCTCAAATACAATATCTAGACAGGAGACAGTAACAGCAGGTTGCCTGAACCCAGTCGCAGATAAAAGATATCCCCCAGAGATTATATCGTCATTGTCGGGCAGGATTGTCTGGGAATCAGATGTGTAGCATGTTGTTCAGGGATAATAAGGCGGCGTGGGTAGTGGCGAGTGTTGTGCTGAGTGCAACGACCTGCAGATGTCTTCACGCTCAAGACTGGCATCTTCAATCAGGTATTTTGCTATTCTTTGCATGTATTTTTAATGATAATATTATAAGGATTATTTATACAGTTATTACGGTAGGTGGGTTAAGAAAAAGAACTAGATAGGTGAGTTAGGAAGGAGAAGGCAGCACTAGATAGCTAGGGAAATTATTTTTTTTGTCGAGAACAGACAGCTTGTGTGTGTATACGAGTCGTACCTAATAGGCTAAGTTGCCTACCAAGCCTAGTTTTCCCTCAAATTATATACTTTTCAATTTGATTTCATGGAATGATAAAGCTTTTCATTATATTATATATCATTTCATTTTTTTAGGTAAACTAACATAAAAAATTTAATCAAACCTAGCCTAACCTATTGGGGAGTCGATCGGCCGAGCGGACAGCACACTGGATTTGTGATCCTGTGGTCCCGGGTTCGATCCAGGGCGCCGGCGAGAAACAATGGGCAGAGTTTCTTTCACCCTATGCCCCTGTTACCTAGCAGTAAAATAGGTACCTGGGTGTTAGTCAGCTGTCACGGGCTGCTTCCTGGGGGTGGAGGCCTGGTCGAGGACCGGGCCGCGGGGACACTAAAGCCCCGAAATCATCTCAAGATAACCTATAACTACCCTACATAATGCAGGGGGAGGGGTGGGGCGGGGTTAGCCCACCCCTCCCCGAGGAGTGGAGTGTTGTGCACCAGTCATGCACACCACTACACATCTCAATCACAACCTGTAGATTCCAGACCATTTCCTCTGTTGTTTACTTGAAATGTGGAGGTGATTCCTCTTCTATACTCAGTGTATGTCAAGTTTCGCCGGGTGTGTGTCTCCTCCTTTTGAGACGAACATATGACTTTTTTTTTTTTTTTTTTTTTTTTTTTTTTTTTTTTTTTTTTTGAGATATATACAAGAGTTGTTACATTCTTGTACAGCCACTAGTACGCGTAGCGTTTCGGGCAAGTCCTTAATCCTATGGTCCCTGGAATACGATCCCCTGCCGCGAAGAATCGTTTTTTCATCCAAGTACACATTTTACTGTTGCGTTAAACAGAGGCTACAGTTAAGGAATTGCGCCCAGTAAATCCTCCCCGGCCAGGATACGAACCCATGACATAGCGCTCGCGGAACGCCAGGCGAGTGTCTTACCACTACACCACGGAGACTTCGTAACGATCGTTGATTAGCACAAAAGGAAGGGCTTGTCTTCTCTATTTGAGTATTGGCACCTGACCTGGTACTCACAGCATCTGGCGTGGAAAATGCAGTAAGTCACTAGAAATGCACGTTGCACCTCCAGGCACCAGCTGTCTTACTGTTAACTGACCGGAAATGTGGTCAAATCGGGCATCAAAAAGGCAAGAGAGAGAGAGAGAGATGCCGCCGCCCAATCCCAGGCGATCTTGCTGATTTATGACGAAATAGGTCTCCTAACATTGGCCACAGGTCACGTGACCTGTAAAGCCTCTTCAACTAATATTGACGTCGGAGTTATACCAGACACTATCTTGTTTGATTAAAATAATACAATAAGTTATAGATACAAATTGAGATTAACTTCATTGCATAAGTTTATGTATCCTAACATAAATGTTCTCTGGTAATCCTTCATACTGATTGTAGGTGAGTATGACTCCCAGAGAAGGCTAAATAATACTATTATGGTCTGCGTGTCGTAATACAACTCGCTGATTAAACCTGAGACTGCACCATCACCTTTGAGAAGTGTCTCTGCCGGCATCTTATCAGGCAGTGATCACGTCCAAAGATACAGATATGCTCAAGGACTGATCGTGGACTCGAGACGAAGTTGGACGTTTATGCTGTTTTCACATCTCATCTCACTTAAGAACTGTAATATATTTTACGAACTTTTATGTTAATGTGGGCTCAGCACTTGAGCCTTAAACTATTCGGGTTTTCAATTTTTGAACGATAATGGCAGATATTTCTCATAATGAGTACATTAAAATCACATGAAAGCTATATGCTGTCACAAATCTGAACACACAAACAAACGAATCCAAACAAACAGACAAGGAGAAATATAGTTGAAGTTGAAGATAAATGCCATGAAAAGTTGAGTAATAATAATAATAATAATAATAATAATAATTGTTATTTATAATAATATGTTATCAGGGCGATAACATACAGTACACGTGATTGACACAAGTATCTTCTTGAGGTTATCTTGAGATGATTTCGGGGCTTTTTTTTGTAGTGTCCCCGCGGTCCTGTCCTCGACCAGGCCTCCACCCCCAGGAAGCACTTGGCTTATTAGGCAAATCGGGCCTTGCATAGTAAACCAAGAATAGCGTTCTGGCTACTAGGTACAACATATATATATATATATATATATATATATATATATATATATATATATATATATATATATATATATATATATATATATATATATATATATATATATATATATATATATACAGGGATATTTGAACTTGGTCCGTGGAGAAAATCACTGCTCACAGATTACGTATCGGTTGCTACGAGCTTCATCAACACTGGACTTCATGATGATTGAAACTGAGGGAAACATTTGAAAAAAAAAAGTAATTTTTCTTTTTCTGTCAGCAGTTCCTGCAGTTCAACTCTTAAGCAATTCCTACTTTTCAACCTATGAGCAGTATTCTTGTTTTTCTCAGTTATGGCAGGTTTCGATGTAGTATATAATGCATTACGGACTTTATAGGCACAGAGAGTACGGGTGTTTTGACAGCACAAGACCCTAAAATGGAAGTTCCAGAGCTTTTCCATTATGGTACTGCATGGCCTTGGCTCATGAACCTATTAATGTAGGTAAAACACGATCTTTATTGACTATACTATGTCATTCATTAAAATTACTGACCTTTTATCCTACAGCGAGAGAGTGGCTGTCTGTCAGGAAGTCAACATGGTGGCCGCTGTACATGCCGAGTGGCGTGGATGAGACGAGCCCGTGCGGCCAGTCCCTTACGGCCATGAGGCACTCTTTAGAGCTCAACGAGACCTGGGCTCTCAAAAGTAAGCACATCTTTAGGAAAAATTTGTCCCTAAGTCCCCTTAAATAGAAGGAAAACCTTGTTAAAACCTCCGTAAAAACACCTTTAAGATAACATTCTTTTTAAGTTCACGTCAGAACACTTTTTGATAACCATGTTATTAAGCTCCTCTTAGAATAAACACCTTTAAGGCAACATCCTTCTTATGCTGTTCCCTATTTATGTCACCTCTCATATGTACACAATATTTCAGGAGATATTGTTGTCACAAGCATTGTGAACCTGCACCAATGGGTAAATGCTGGATTTTTTTCGTTTGATCAAGAATACATGGATTTGTTGATTTGGAAACAAGGTTGTGGATGAGTGAAATGGGCTGTCAGCTATCATTATAGTGACAAACTCTTCAACATGTTCGATTGATGAAGATTAAGCCACCATAAGAGATGGCACGGGCATGAATAGCCTGTAGGTGATAGATGTCTGGAGGGAATGTCATCTTTGGTGATGTAACATCTTGAAGTGTCTCTGGGTCTCTGCTATTTACGATTCAACATGTTCAAGAAGAGATTTGATATTACATGGGCGGCCAGGGTGAGACGGAGTGCATTTCAACGGGATATGCCTCGTATGAGTCAATAGGCCCGCTGCAATATTTCCTAACCTTTATAATTCATGATGTTCTTATAACGCTCTTGTATTGGTTTGTAGTGGTGGACTCGTGGGGTAAGTCGGTTGACGGCATCCTGTACGGCACAAAGGCTACCGTCGGAGTGTTCGACGAATGCGTCGCTGCCAAGTCGCCTGACAAGAGTATTCATGGGAAATACTGCTTAATATCACTAAGGTAAGATGCAGGGGGGTTGACTGAATGTATAGTTATATTATCTGGTTAAGAGTTACCTGCCGTATTAAATTATATTTGTTTAGTTTATTTATTAATGAAATAAGGATAACCAGTTTTATATGATTTATTAAATACACTTGACTGAGGTTCACTGTGTCCCTTCATGCATTCTTTTAAAACTGCAGCATATTTAATTAGAGCTGGGAGACTTCTTCAGTTTATACTGCTCTCTTTGTTTATATATATCAGCATTTCTATTATGTCAAGTTCTTTCAATATTTCTTCAGTCCACATCCCTCGTAATTCCAGAACGAGTCTCGTTGCAAGTAGTTATCAGAAGAAGGCACCAAACCGGGAAGATTATGTAGCACAAGCCTAGTTGCAAATCTGTGAACCTTAAGACTACTACATACTCTTAAGACTAGTCTCACGTAGGAGGTGTACAGTGATTTAAATGCCTTCTTATTTAGGTTCATAAGAAGAAAGGTAACTGCAGAAGGCCTATTGGCCCATACAAGGCAGCTTCTATTTATAACCACCCATTCCCACTCATAAACATGTCCAACCCACGTTTGAAACAATCTAGGGACCCCACCTCCACCACGTTACACGTTACGCAGAACATTGTTCCTGAACAATGTTCTGACTTCAGCCAATACAGAGTATGGTGCAGCTGTCATTCTATTGATATCTACCTCCAGAGTTAGGCTTGTTGTTACATCTACTCCCAGTCCTTTTTCTCAACTTGTTACAGGGAGGTAGTTTCCATTCATTGTGTACCGTCCTTCTGGTGTATATGTGTGTGCTTGTGCAATGTATATTAACATTAAAATACATGAATATATATTTTAAATTTATTTTATTTTAGACACGAGACAGTTTCGGATAACTTAGACACGAAGGACCACAACAGCTGGACAAGGGGATCAAATCTATATGTGGTGCCATCTGTAATTAACTACAATTGGCAGCTAAATGGAAGCGGCTTCCAGTATGCTACCTGCATGCCAGATGCCTGCAGCGCGGAGGAGCTACAGGTATGTGAATATTTTAAAGTTAAAATTTGTACACATACAAGTGATGATTTTTACATAAAATAAGACGGCTTATTTGCTGCTTCTTACTTTATTTTATAATTCTAACATAAATATGCATACAAAGTGGTTCAAGACAAGTTCAGCTAAAAGTTATATGTATGTTTGCAAATCTCAGCTTTTGTAATTAGTAAATCATATATTTTATTTGTTGTGTGTCTTAAAAGAGGTCTACTTTGGGTGTAATGTCTAATTATTTTCTCACGTGCACTGAGATGAAATAAATATTTAAAATGTTCGCATTTCTGTTGACAAACTTGTGAATTTGATTTAGTTCCCATAATCTCACACTTTTGTTTTTGTATAATATATATTTTAGACGTTTCGATACAAAATTACCACAGTAGTTTTTTTTATTAATAAAGAACTATTAAGAAACTTATTGCAATAATATATCTATTGGCATTGTACTCCCCATTGTAATCCCCATCACACAGGATGGTTAGTCATACAGAGGTATGTGATAAGTAGTCTGCACTGGCAAACTCTGGGTGCATTATGAGGATATCATGAACACTTGAGTGAATAAGGTAGCAGTGATACTGAATCTCTCCATCTCGCAGAATGGTTAATCATACTGGGCCATACGTTCAATAGCCTGCACTGGCAAATTTTGGGTGCAATATGAGGATATCTTCAAGAACACGAGAGTGAATGAATTAATTGCAAAGCTACAGGTATCTCATGCCAATGGGTCTGAATGGTCTGATAGCTGGACATTCCTGAACGTAATGTAGTTGGCGTCGTTCTCCACTCAAAATCGGGGATTCGGGTTCGATTTTCGGGCATGACAAAAATGGTTGGGACTCTGTTCACCTAGCACCCGGGAGTTGGATAAATATTTTAAAATTGTATCCTGGTGCCGAACCCGTCCTCATACAAATTACGTCGCTTTTCGCTCGTATGTGCACTCAGGCTAAAAATCGACGTAATTCAAAATGAAATCGGCTCACGAAAGTGACGTACTGTCCCGTTTTCTGGTTTGAGTCCTCTGGCTTAGGCTGTTAGGTTAGGAGAAGAAACTTTAAATTAACGGTTTTTATGACGTTTTGAAACCTTAGAAGTTCCTGCCCTCCAAATCTACCAGAGGACCCTTAATTTGCTATTTTGGAAAAAAAATAAAATCCAAAATTTAATTGAAAAATAATTTTCCATTCTGAATTACGTCGATAAGATGGGAAATGTTCAGATCTTCCAGATGAACACATAAGTGCTCTGTGAATCATGGACCAGCTGACACTGTATTTGCTACTAAATATTTAACAATTCTCCCGGCCTGAGCTCTCTTCCTCTCTCCCTCACTTCAGGAGAGCCTCATAGAGACATACAGCAACAGCACTATAAAGTATGTAGTTAATAGTGTCGCGTGTCAGCCTAACGATTCACAAAACAAGTTCTCAGCCGGCGACATTGTATATATGTAAGTATATAACTACATTTATTATTAATGTTTTACGTAGCTTAGATATCAGTTTATCCAATATTTATATTTTATGCATATATGTCTATAAGAAATCTATATCAACTCGTTCTAATATGTCGCATTTTTTACAATTTACAAAATCAATCAATCCATTAAAATTGCGAAACTTTACTAAATAATTAAATCATTGTAATATTGAGGTTTTCTATGCATCGGCCTCGGATACAGAAAGTGTTGGCTGGATTCCAACTTTTGTGGTTAGGCATAATAGTTATTGTTTTTTACATAGTTGCAAATTGGGAGAACCAATTGTTTTGCAATGAAACTTATAACAGGAAATTAATATGTGGCTGACGCCTAAGTGCCATAACTCCCGATCATTCCCCCATTTCGAGTTTCCAGCGGAGTATTCCTAACTATCGATACGGTTACGCATCAGGTTTCGGTCGGCGAACGATCGAAATCGATCCAAACTTGAACTTGAGCACCGTCGCGGCATTCCTCCCTCGCCTGTAGAACCACCGGTAGCAAAAACAGCAGTAACAGGCATAGGCTGGCTCCTCCATTACTCCGGTATGCGTCTGCTGCAGAAATGACCAACGGACTCTCACTCTGTGCTCATAGATTAGTTGGTTTTCAATCAACCATTGTTTAGATTATATGAGAAGGAACAAAAATAGAATGAATGATTGAGGAATAAATAAAATGAATGTTTCCTGAAGACGAAAAGAACTAGTCAGAAATCAACTAATAAATTATACAAATTTAAAACAATTTGAAATTTGAGAAGAGTGATATATGTCTAGTAAATGTCTGTATAATACTTATCAACATTTTGGAAGTATTTCAGCGCATATAGCATGGTGCTAACTTAAGATAACATCAAATGTTATCCATTCATGTGCTCATTTATCAACATTATGGTCTTCATCACACTTGAGTAATATAGTCCTTCTTTCCCGTCGTAACTAAACCTAGCTCTGTGTTGTATAAATCTCTCATGTCTAAACTAAACTCCATCGTCCTCCAGGGCACTCCAAATTCTGCCTATCAATAAAAGGGTTTTCGTCAATTAGATGAAAACAAAAAACATTCGATTTCAATTTTAAATTAAATTCGGGTAATACTTGTATAATACATTCCGCCGTTCTTCGCCTTTTTAAAGTGAAGAAACATCATTATTCTTAATGTAGTTTCGTAAGAAAGATTTTAATGATATTGGTCAACTTGTCATATATTTTTATACTAGGATGTTAAACCTAACTTATACTTATAAACTTATACTAGGATGTTAAAATATCACAACCCAACTAAGGTCTCAATGAGGTCCAAGAACCTCTCCCTGGGAAACTAATATTCACTAGGCTAACAAAATAAACTTCCGTTTATTTTCATAATGTGGCTCAACATTCATTGATCATAAAATATGTTCCCGTTTGTTCCTACAGCACTCTGTTGAGCGTCTTGTTCTTCACGATACTCGTAGCAGGCTTGGTAGACGCATATATTGAGAAAACTAACAATAAAACAATGGCTAAAGGTGAGTTAAAGTTTACCGATTGGCAATATGTTGACAATTGGGACTTCGAAGTGTTTTGGTCAATTGTAATATTGCTTTTGTGTCCAATCATATGTAATTAATATTATAGACAGTAAATAGTGTCCACCAGTTTGTATTTGTATTATTTGATGCAATTTTTCTATTTTACTTTTTGACGAGTTTTGCTTTTGTGTTGCAGGTTTGCTTTTGCTTTTGTGTTGCAAACATCTTCAACCTATTGATGTGTTGCAGCTCATTTTAAATTTGCTGTGTTAATATTTATCCACAACCTAGTTTAACTGCTAGAATGTTTAGAATGTTATTATAGAGGTTAAATCTCTGTTCCAATTATATATTCTTTATATTAACATAGTTGCCTTCTCCTGCTTTCTATTCACTCGATGAATTAGCAATAGTAATAAGTTCTTGCTAAACTATTAAGATACCTCCCGACAACCTTTAAGAGATTATAAAAACAAATAAGCTGAATGAGATCAAAGGAAGACACTACTGTAAACATTCCTACAAGATGCAAAGTGAGCGAGATCGCTCATGGTAGGCAAATAGACTGCTCTCTAAAAATTCGTAAAGATATTTACTTTATTGTACATCAAATATTAATGAACAATACTCAGCTGGTCAATAACTACTGTATTATGGTTTGTGTAATTTTATATTTTTTATTTATTTCTTGTACTTTTCTCTATGACAAACACGTTAGTTGTGAGGATTATGTCACAATAACATGGCTGAACATACACACCTAACCCAGAAATCTGAAAATGAAGAATTGACGACATTTTGGCCCGTCCTGGACCATTATCAAGTCGTGTAATCATATATTACCTGTCTCTCACTATTATATTTTTGCAGACTTTGCAATGTTTTTTAAATTCCATTCACAGTAATATGCTAAAGATTGAATACAGTTTGAATATAATATGCTAAACATTGAATACAGAAAATCATAACTAAATAAACATCTATTGTGGTAGTTAGAATTATATATACAATATATAAGTAATGCATAACAATAATAATTCAACTCTAGATGATCTTATATGACATTGTGTGGTTTCTAAGGAGCAACAGTGCTGTTTAGCCTTCCATGCTTCCAGCTTTCTTTTTATAATTACTTAAGGAGCAACTAAACTTTATTAGACTCCATTTACAGGTGGAAGTTTAGACAATTAACATCTTAGTTATAAGAGTTAATAATTTTAAATAAACAGGAACAATTTAACCAATTAAGTCACCAGGCTCTGCTGAGAAGTTTGTTAGAATATTAAAGGAATGTAGAGAATTTCTCAGTGGTCAATTAATGTCTTAAAAAAATCAACTAACTGTCGAACTGTCCCAGCAGTATTGAAGGTTGCCAATTTAGTGTCATTTCTTGAAAAGGTAATGAGATATCGAGTGTCTAACTACCATCTAATTAGCATAATATCACTAGAAATGGCATTCATTAAATTAAATAAGACTTGAGTGCACTCCATTAAATAAGACTGGGTGAATGTAAGTCATTAAATAAGACTGGGTGAATGTAAGTCATTAAATAAGACTGGTTAACTGTAAACCAACAGGTGCTTTGCGGTACCTGCTGCCCTTCTCTGTGTACACCAACATGAGGAAGCTCTTCCACCTCAACACTGACCACTCCCCCGACAGCATAAACTGCCTTCATGGTATCAAGTAGGTGGTCACTTTATATTTATTTACACGTGTCTCACTAGTGTAAACTTGTCTGGCATGTATCATTATTATTATTATTATTTCTGCCCGAAACGCTGCGCGTACTAGTGGCTTTACAAGACTGTAATTACCATATTATGTATCCTCACATTCCCAATGTACATTCTTGTATATGCATAAATAAATAAATAAATAAATAAATAAATAAATAAATAAATAAATAAATAAATAAATAAATTATACACACGTTTCACCAATGGTTGCATGTTATACATGTCTCTTGTTAATGAGTGAGGTTGTGAGACATATCATCACTATGTATTTCAGTCATTCATTATGTATCTCAGTATGTGGAATCAAGTCATTCTAGAGCTAAGTCATAACTCGTATCAAAAACGCTTGAAGGCCACAGGGTTAATAACACTGCAAACCAGGCATGGCAGAGCAGATCACATTACACCCGATGTATCTGTTCACATAGCAGGATATCTGGAATTTCAGTTAACTGTTGTGGGTTGCATCCTGGGGGGTAGGTTAGTCGTTGGCTAATGGTGACGTCCATAACCCTAGTAGGTGGATAGAACTCTTGTCAATAACTGGTTTTCCATGACACATACACACACGACGAACTTGCAAGCTTTACAACAAGGCTTTAGTGAAAGCCTCAGGACTCCTAGAGGATACACTTGAACCCAAGATTGCATTGCTTTTGAGCATGTTGTGGTAAAGTGGTCTAAGCGTGAACTTGGAAGTACCCAGTGTGCAGATTTGAATCCTCCCTACTGATTTTCTCGTCAATCCAAGTTTTGCATGATACCCGCTCACTCTCTGGGATTGGTAATGATGTTCGGTCCCCTTCGTATTGCTCCTAAAATTTGCTCAGTGATATATCACGGCAATTGTGAATTTGGTTAGCATTGTTATTAACATACTGTTAATGTGTGAGAGCATACATTACTTTCATGTAGAAGGTTACAACTGTCCTCCATTACAGAGTGCTGTCCATGACATGGGTGGTGTTCGGGCACCAGCATATTGTTACGATGCTCTTTGAAGCAAATCTCCTTGGAATGTGGACGGTAAGTTTTTATTATATTTTATTTTGTATTAATTAAATGTTTTATTGGGAATGCCTTCCACTCACTGTCCTTCCATTTTATGTATGTTTCATTTATGAAAGAGAGCTGATCAAGTAAAATTAATAGAAATATGTCTATAAAAGAGGATGAGTGCGTGTCAGTTGCTCTAAGGTGGGAGGTCAGATGCATGCGGCTAGCCTTACTAAACTATACAGGGTGACTAGTGGGTGCAAGGGGAATGTCCATGAGGGGTTCAGGGTCGACCTCTATACAACCCCCTTGAAGAAGAGTTGGCTCTTAACACTTAACTTTCGTAACCTTTTGAGGTCCACTCGGGCACCTCCGAGTAAACCATCTTGTCAAGCATAAAAGTATTATGCTTGACTTAATATTAACCACCCCTGGTGGGTGATATTAAGTGCTTTGTGGTTATTAAGGGGTTAAGTATATTAAGCAATTCCTTTTCACTTAACATGGCTATGTGTGTGTGTGTGTGTGTGTGTGTGTGTGTGTGTGTGTGTGTGTGTGTGTGTGTGTGTGTGTGTGTGTGTGTGTGTGTGTGTGTGTGTGTGTGTGTGTTTTAGTATGACCGTATGTCGTTATCTTTTTTGTTATTTATAAGGAAATATGTTTCAAATAATTTTGCATTAAATGCAAACACTCTTTTTAATGAAATTAATACAAATTTAACTTTCCTCCAAGAAAATGGACAGTTTCTTTGATCAAATAGCGAACAACGCCTTCCCGAGCGTAGACACCTTTTTCTTTGTTGGAGGTGTTCTGTTATCTTTGTCTGTTCTCAAGCAACTCAAGAAGAATGGAAGGTTCAACATCATTCAGTTTTATATCCACAGAATTATCAGGTATGTTCTTTATTTATTATTATTATTATTATTATTATTATTATTATTATTATTATTATATATATATATATATATATATATATATATATATATATATATATATATATATATATATATATATATATATATATATATATATATATATGTTAGGTTAGGTTATCCATATATATATATATATATATATATATATATATATGTTAGGTTAGGTTATCCATATATATATATATATATATATATATATATATATATATATATATATATATATATATATATATATAACTGAAAACTCACACCCCAGAAGTGACTCGAACCCATACTCCCAGAAGCAACGCATCTGGTATGTACAAGACGCCTTAATCCACTTGACCATCACGACCGGACATAATGAGGTGATAGCCGAGGCTATTTGAACCACCCCACCGCCGGCACTCGGATAGTTATCTTGGGCATAGCATTTTACCAAATCACCTCATTCTTTGGGGCAACACGTGAGGAACACAAATGCGAACAAGCCTGAATGGTCCCCAGGACATATGCAACTGAAAACTCACACCCCAGAAGTGACTCGAACCCATACTCCCAGAAGCAACGCATCTGGTATGTACAAGACGCCTTAATCCACTTGACCATCACGACCGGACATAATGAGGTGATAGCCGAGGCTATTTGAACCACCCCACCGCCGGCACTCGGATAGTTATCTTGGGCATAGCATTTTACCAAATCACCTCATTCTTTGGGGCAACACGTGAGGAACACAAATGCGAACAAGCCTGAATGGTCCCCAGGACATATGCAACTGAAAACTCACACCCCAGAAGTGACTCGAACCCATACTCCCAGAAGCAACGCATCTGGTATGTACAAGACGCCTTAATCCACTTGACCATCACGACCGGACATAATGAGGTGATAGCCGAGGCTATTTGAACCACCCCACCGCCGGCACTCGGATAGTTATCTTGGGCATAGCATTTTACCAAATCACCTCATTCTTTGGGGCAACACGTGAGGAACACAAATGCGAACAAGCCTGAATGGTCCCCAGGACATATGCAACTGAAAACTCACACCCCAGAAGTGACTCGAACCCATACTCCCAGAAGCAACGCATCTGGTATGTACAAGACGCCTTAATCCACTTGACCATCACGACCGGACATAATGAGGTGATAGCCGAGGCTATTTGAACCACCCCACCGCCGGCACTCGGATAGTTATCTTGGGCATAGCATTTTACCAAATCACCTCATTCTTTGGGGCAACACGTGAGGAACACAAATGCGAACAAGCCTGAATGGTCCCCAGGACATATGCAACTGAAAACTCACACCCCAGAAGTGACTCGAACCCATACTCCCAGAAGCAACGCATCTGGTATGTACAAGACGCCTTAATCCACTTGACCATCACGACCGGACATAATGAGGTGATAGCCGAGGCTATTTGAACCACCCCACCGCCGGCACTCGGATAGTTATCTTGGGCATAGCATTTTACCAAATCACCTCATTCTTTGGGGCAACACGTGAGGAACACAAATGCGAACAAGCCTGAATGGTCCCCAGGACATATGCAACTGAAAACTCACACCCCAGAAGTGACTCGAACCCATACTCCCAGAAGCAACGCATCTGGTATGTACAAGACGCCTTAATCCACTTGACCATCACGACCGGACATAATGAGGTGATAGCCGAGGCTATTTGAACCACCCCACCGCCGGCACTCGGATAGTTATCTTGGGCATAGCATTTTACCAAATCACCTCATTCTTTGGGGCAACACGTGAGGAACACAAATGCGAACAAGCCTGAATGGTCCCCAGGACATATGCAACTGAAAACTCACACCCCAGAAGTGACTCGAACCCATACTCCCAGAAGCAACGCATCTGGTATGTACAAGACGCCTTAATCCACTTGACCATCACGACCGGACATAATGAGGTGATAGCCGAGGCTATTTGAACCACCCCACAAAGAATGAGGTGATTTGGTAAAATGCTATGCCCAAGATAACTATCCGAGTGCCGGCGGTGGGGTGGTTCAAATAGCCTCGGCTATCACCTCATTATGTCCGGTCGTGATGGTCAAGTGGATTAAGGCGTCTTGTACATACCAGATGCGTTGCTTCTGGGAGTATGGGTTCGAGTCACTTCTGGGGTGTGAGTTTTCAGTTGCATATGTCCTGGGGACCATTCAGGCTTGTTCGCATTTGTGTTCCTCACGTGTTGCCCCAAAGAATGAGGTGATTTGGTAAAATGCTATGCCCAAGATAACTATCCGAGTGCCGGCGGTGGGGTGGTTCAAATAGCCTCGGCTATCACCTCATTATGTCCGGTCGTGATGGTCAAGTGGATTAAGGCGTCTTGTACATACCAGATGCGTTGCTTCTGGGAGTATGGGTTCGAGTCACTTCTGGGGTGTGAGTTTTCAGTTGCATATGTCCTGGGGACCATTCAGGCTTGTTCGCATATATATATATATATATATATATATATATATATATATATATATATATATATATATATATATATATATATATATATATATATATATATATATATATGTGTGTGTGTGTGTGTGTGTGTGTGTGTGTGTGTGTGTGTGTGTGTGTGTGTGTGTGTGTGTGTGTGTGTGTGTGTGTGTGTGTGTGTGTGTGTGTGTGTGTGTGTGTGTGTGTGTGCGTTTGTGTGTATGTGTGTGTTTATACACTTGCATAAACACACAAGATTTATGTAACCAAAGAACTCATCTCCGTAAAGGATTCGAACCTCAGAAAGCCAGGTGCATCACACACACACACTAACATAACCAGTACAGTGACCGCATGACCATGGCAGATTGTTGACAAACAGGTGGTCTCTTGCCTTGACTGGTGTTGTTGGGAGTTGGGGAAAAGCCTCCCGGCTTCCAACCCTTTTAACAATCTATCATGGTCAAGGGGTCTGGTTGATACCTGGTTGATGGGGTTCTACTCCCCAAACCGGCCCGAGGCCAGACTTGACTTGTGAGAGTTTGGTCCACCAGGCTGTTGCTTGGAGCGGCCCGCAGGCCCACATACCCACCACAGCCCCACCGTACTGTTGGTGTTAGTGTCCTTAGTTAGCGTTACTGTTAGGGTGTTAGTGGTGTCACCGTACTGTTTATGTTAGTGTGTGTGTGATGCACCTGACATCACAAAAACAAAAGTTAGTAAAAAGCAACAACGTTGATCTAATCCCATCTCAAAGCCAAAAAAAAGGATCTCGATGCAAAACATTTTTGTTGATATAGATTAATTACTATGTATTATAAATGAATTCAGACAGCAGCAGAGGTAGTTAGATCCAAACTGAGCTCTTTATTTATGGAAAGCTTATGATGGTACAGGTAATTTAATGCAAGGACTGGTGAAGTACGTGTCAGTTCACATATGCACACATACACAATTCAATTTCTTTTTTTATTATGTACCCCATACCCATCCCGTGGGCGGTGGTGTAAAGGGTTACAGAGGCACATAATCAGTTCAGGAACTGAACACACACACACACACACACACACACACACACACACACACACACACACACACACACACACACACACACACACACACACACACACACACACACACACCCACATACACACACACACACACAACCAACCAAATTTGTGATTATTATATTATTTTAAAATTATTGTATTTTTTCCGAAAAGATCATTATTTATGATAAGAAAATTTCTTTACAAAATTTATTGATAACAAAAGTCTCATAAGTTTAGATTATGGGTATTTTTATTTACATAACATTGTGCTGGGCATCCTAACAGGTTGGTACCGTCTATTGCGCTAGTTGCTGGGCTGTACGCAACTATTGTTCACTTCTTTGTGTCTGGACCAATAGCTAGTTACTGGAATGTCATGCAGAGAACCTGCCAACTCACCTGGTGGCGAGATATCCTATTCATTGATAATTTTGTTTTGGACCCAATTGAACCCGGCACTCAAGGAGACGTGAGTTGCATAATTTTTTTTAAACTTTCTTAAATGGTCAATATTTACATATATACTCTTAAACTTTATTAATTATAGTTTATGATTATTTAATATATTATCATTAAGTATCTAATATGTGTAATTATCTGCAGATGTGTATCAAAAATATATCTGAATTTCAATATTTTAACGAGCGTCATAGTTTTTGCAACAGTTTAGTGTGGTACTCACCTAGTTGTGTCTGCGGGGGTTGAGCTTCGGCTCTTTGGTCCCGTCCCTCAACTGTCAACTGGTGGATAGGCTCCTGAGCCTATATCATATCCACATTTGAAACTGTGTATAGAGTCAGCCTCCACCACATCACTACCTAGTGCATTCCATTTGTTAACTATGGTGTATAGTGGCAGTACTCGCAAGGTGTATAAATTAAAAACTTTAATGTTCTTCAGTGTCTGGGACAATGTTGGTACCTGGCAGTGGACACACAGTTCTACCTCATTTCTCCTCTCATTCTCCTCCCTCTCTACTTCTACAGTGGTATAGGTAAGTTATCGTACCTCATAAGCCTTTCTTCGTTCGTCTCTGTATGGATTCAGAAAATGGATGACAGTTTTAAGTGATATATTTCATCAAAATCTGTATAGTTTGTAAGGTAAATACTGTTGTATTTTTGAAGTACAGGATAAAAATGAACAAAAAATAAAGTAAACAATTAGATACCGTGGAACATACACACTCGAGAAACCATGGAACATACACACTCGAGCAACCATGGAACATACACACTCGAGCAACCATGGAACATACACACTCGAACAACCATGGAACATACACACTCGAGCAACCATGGAACATACACACTCGAGCAACCATGGAACATACACACTCGAGCAACCATGGAACATACACACTCGAGCAACCATGGAACATACACACTCGAGCAACCATGGAACATACACACTCGAGCAACCATGGAACATACACACTCGAGCAACCATGGAACATACACTCTCGAGCAACCATGGAACATACACACTCGAGCAACCATGGAACATACACATTCAAGCAACCTTGGAACATATAAACACTAGAGAAGAGAGAGAAGCGTTCTCAATCTCTCAAGAAAGAGAGATTGAGAATGCCTCAGATTGAAGGCATAAACGTGTTTATGCCTTCAATCTGAGGCATGTTTATGTTGCAGGTGAAGTGTTGCTGTATGTGCTCAGTCTCGTCTCGGTCATCATCCCCGCTGCCATCATATATGCATATGACTTCCCACCTTTTAATTTACTTTTGGACCCGTGAGTTGACGTGATTATTACCCTTGTGTACCCGTTATATAGATTAGGCTCACAAAATTATGCATATTTACTTTTATATATTTTGAGATAATACAAATTGTCATTGCTGATATATTTGTTATGCTCTGATATAACTCAAATATTATAAATTTTCTGCAAATAAAATATTTATTGTATGTATGTATATAGCTAAATACTTGTGCATTACAGGGATATTATGTATTGATATTGTTTGTAAGATGAAGCTAATTGTTACTGTAATTGTATCTTACTCAGCAAGACAAATGATTACATGCTGAAGGTTTACCTCACACCATGGTGTCGAGCCGGGCCCTGGCTGGTGGGCCTCTGGCTAGGCTATGTCTTCTACACTCGGGGGAACAAGAAGGCCATTCTTACGAAGGTAAGAAGACAAATCCCTTATTCACGTAATGATATGCTTCTCAATTTTGTTTATTATATACCCCCCCCCCCCCCACCCCCCGAACCTATCCCGTGGACGACAATGGACCCCATACTCATCCCGTGAGCGGTAGTTAACCCCCATGCCCATCCCGTGGGCGACAGTGGACCCCATACTCATCCCGTGGCCGGTAGTTGACCCCATATCCATCCCATGGGCGACAATGGACCCCATACCCATCCTGAGGGTTGTAGTAGAAAAAGTTACATAATGAATTCAGAAACTGAACACCAAAATTCCAACCCATCCACCTGTTTAGATAATACTTTTTGTAACTATGTACATACACATAGTTACATATACATAATGTACGATTAGATAATAGAATTTGGTACTATTCACTTTATAAAATCCGGAAAATATAAACCTAAAACCAAACTTAAATATTCCTAGGACTAGTATAGCATATATATTAGGCTTCAGATAACGTGTATTATGCCTAGGATGGTTAAATTAGGTTTTATTAGCAACATAAATACAAAACCTTTTCCGGTTTGTTCAAATTCAATAGTACCAAATTCTACTTTCCAATTATTTATTATGTCAATATATGTACGATGGTCCACATCGTTTCTATAAACACTTATTTATTGTAATGAATCATCGGGGCATTTTGTATCGATGCGCATGCATTTACAGTGGCAGGTGGTTGCTGGATGGACAGTAGCAACTATTACCGGTATCCTAATTGTATTTGGTATGTGGAGTTACAACACGATACCCAGGAAAGCCCAGTATGATGTGATAACCCAGGTGGTGTACGGCGGGGGCCAGCGGTTCACCTGGGGCGCTGTGATGGCTTGGGTCGTCTTCGCTTGTCACTACGGGTACGGAGGTAAGACAATGAACTTCCTATTCGCGTAATTTTCGGAATTTATGCTCTAAAATGTCCTACATGTCCTAAATGTCGGAATTTATGCTTAAAATGTTGAAGTTAAGTCCAAAACAGAAGTAATTTCGCTATTATTAAAAAAAATATTAGAGTATTAAACTGTAAATGATGATTTGAAACGTTTGTATTTCAGGATTGGTGAATGAGTTTCTCTCTCACCCTATTTGGCAGCCAATGAGCCGCTTGACCTACTCCTTATACCTCGTGGCTTACCCTCTCCAGTTTGCTATTGTCTTCAATACCAGAACTCTTTATTATTACAACTATTTTAACAAGGTAATGTTTTTTTATTCATCGGTTTCTACCAAGTTTAGCTTATATTGGATTTGGCCGGAGACGAAAGTTAAAAATAATGAATAATGAATATATTATTACCGCAGGAACAATGGTATCAGATGTATCTTGAACTAATATATATATTGCTTTCACATCAATCATTTTTTTTACCTTGACCCGAATGCTTCGACCAAATTAAGTTTAGATTGAATAAAAATAGCTTTGCAAAGGAGAATAAACACATAGATGAAGACATACCTTTCGATTCTTCACATATCTTTGCATACACAAACAATAGCCAAACTACATGGAAATGTATTCTATCACTTTATGTTGAAACAAAAACTATAATGGTGATATTTCTTGCAGATAATCGAAACTGTGGGAGTGTTGGTGATCTCTGGAATAATAGCAACATTGGTCTCTCTTTGTGTGGAGTCTCCAATCATTGGCCTGGAGAAGGTTCTCCTCGGACGGCCTGGTAAGTAATGTACTTAACAAGCCTAAGTATAATGTTATGATAACATAAGTATAATGTTATGCCATTGAAACGCAAAAATACAGTTGTGGTTACATTATTTTTGTTGGGTTGGTTACTTGGTATGTTCTGGTCGACCTGCTGTGTGTTGCTTGGTGTGTTCTGGTCGACCTGCTGTGTGTTGCTTGGTGTGTTCTGGTCGACCTGCTGTGTGTTGCTTGGTGTGTTCTGGTCGACCTGCTGTGTGTTGCTTGGTGTGTTCTGGTCGACCTGCTGTGTGTTGCTTGGTGTGTTCTGGTCGACCTGTTGTGTGTTGTCTGGTGGCCTGAGAGCCGTGTTTTGTGGAGAAAGATGCTAGTTTTGTGGAGTATATATACACAAAACTATAATAACATAATACAGTAATGCCAAAAACTAGAATACCGAGAGTATAATACAATGGTGTTAGTATGCTGGTAGTTTTGTGGAGTATGCTAGTAGGTTTGTGCAGTATGCTGGTAAATTTTAATATGCTGGTAGTTTTATGGAGTATGCTGGTAATTTTGTGTATTATGCTGGTAGTTTTGTGGAGTATGCTGGTAGTTTTGTGGAGTATGCTGGTAGTTTTATGGAGTAAAGCTATAATTTTGTGGTATATACTATCAGCTTTCTTGTATTTACTTAATTTTACGATATATGCTAGTAGTTTTGTGGTATATGGTTGCTGTTGTATACGTTAGTAGTTTTGTGGTGTATGCTAGCAGGTTTGTGGTATACGCTAGCAGGTTTGTGATTCACGCTAGCAATTAAGCGGAGTATAATAGAAATTGTTATACGCTAGCAATTTTGTGGCATGTGCTGTGGCTGGTGACCCATGTGGTTCCACACCAACCCCCCCCCTCCTTGTGGTTGTTGGCCAATATGGTTGTTGATCAATGTGGTTGGTGACCCTGAAGTGTCCGATAACGGTGAGTCTTGAAGCACTGAATCATGTTTCTCACTATATTCATGGTGTCTGAATATTATGGTCACCATAGTGTTTTTTTAGAAGTGATGCTGGCTGTATATTGTTACTACATGCAAAACAATTTATTGATTCAAGATTTACATATGTTATTTTATTTCCCTTGCGATTTCAGATTCAAGAAGCAACGATCCTATCATTAGAGGATCCAAACTCTCGGAAAATGGCACAGAGTCCAAACTTTCGGGAAATGGCAGAGAGTCCCAGCCCTCAGGACATGACAACTACTCATTCATTACAGAAATGACAGAGATAACTGAAGATAATGGTACATGTTCCGAGAATGTTACTGTTGATAATGTTACCAAACTGTAAACATTGTGTAATTGAAAGGTATGTTTATTATTATTATTATTATAGTAAAAAAATAACATTTGCTGGTGATATTATAATAATATTAAAATGAAAATGAAATAATACAGAAAAAATACAAGAATAATTAAAATTTCAGATTAGTAAAATATTTATATTTAAAACAAATACGTAAATTAACTATTGCCAAAAAATATAATAATAACAACGGAATTTAATTTAATTATCAGGGGAAAGCGCCAAGCAATTACGACTTTATAGCACTTGGAAGGGTCAGGATAAGGATTTGGGATGGGATGGGGAGGGGGGGGAGAGAAATGGTGCCCAACCACTTGGACGGTCGGGGATTGAACGCCGACCTGCAAGAAACGAGACCTTGGGAAATACTTGGAAAATTTCAGTGGAAATAGTTATATTTATACTTCATCATCCAAGCTCATTTAAACAACAAAAGTGTTCCAAGGATTAAGGGCCCTATTTCCACGACACATATATTTAACCATTAATTCATAAACTCATATATTTTTATTTGGAATATGTTGATACAATTTTTAATATGCTGACAGAACTAAGTCAACTGCAAAGGGCTACAGGGCTAACAACACTACAAACCAATCATGACTGCGGATCTCATCGAAACTATTAAAATACTGAACAATTTCGAAGATGTTAATCCAAACTTCTTCAAGATCAATTGTAATGCAAACAAGGAATAGCGGTTTCAAGCTCAACAAGCCACAATGTAGCAGCGAAAACAGGAGATGCTTTACAACACCCATGGAACTGAATACCCGCCGAAGCCGTAAATGCCAAAACTGTTGAATTTTAAAATCAAGCTTGAAAAAAAATCATCAGGTTAAGTGGAAGGGCATTTGACAAGACGCTGGCTTCCTGTTCTCGCCGAGGCCACTAGAGTGTTAAGTGACCCTCAGGTAAATTCAAGTAAATGTGAGTCAACCTTCTGAAACAGTAATGTTGGGGTGCTACCATACTATCAATGGCGGCTCCACCTGTGAGTATCAGGGTTACAGAAGCTCACCTTGAGTCTGTAGTCTTCTGGGGCGAAGATAGAAGCTATCCCAGGCTTCGGAGGTAGATGGGGGCTGGAGCGGCCAACTGGCGAGGTCACCAAGATTACGAAAAGGTCCGAAAATAACGGATGAAAGATGAAAGCTCTGCCTCCTAGGAGGGGTGGGTGCTTGCTTTGCCCGAGGCGTATGCCACCGTCAGGTATAACCTAAATTGGGGAAATGCTCCCGCCGGCGGACAATTTAAATGTGGCTCCATGCACAGTAAATTTTCTCCTGCTACCTGGTTCTCAAGCTGTGTTTCTAAGCCTTAAACGTATGTTTACAGCTTAGATACATTTTGGTATTTCTTCATCAAGTTCGTATTTATGCTGTGTCACCATTCCACACATCAAACAATTGTTCTACCATTAGTCTTTCAAACATATTAATAATAAACATCTAATGCTGCACTAGTGTATTCTTACATGCATCCGACACCAGTTTTACAGAACATAGACTGTAAAAGATCTGTGTAATTTATCTCGTGAGGGTTGTGTGAATTCGCATGAGGTTATTTCCAACTTTAAAACAGTTGTGAGATACTGTCAAACTTGTTTGGACTTAGAATGTCAGTTGCTGGTCTGTCATCGCATACATGAATCTACTTTTCTGGATTCTCAGAGCAAAACTGCGGATACGAACGAGGTGTAACCATCTGCTGCACCAGCTCAATTAAGAGTATCTGATATAGCATTTCATACCACAGAAACCTTTTAATTTTATCAAATTCTGAGCTTTTTCTTGAAAAGTGGAGAATATTCTTCAGGGCTAATTTCTAACAGTGCGGGACAGATGTAGGGCTCGTTATAGCTGCTGTAGTCTTTCTGGAATTGGAATATCCTCCTCTAATGTAGCCTTTTGGCTTCAGAATCAGCTCTGAATGAAGAACTGGGAACATGAAATAATTTTTTGTTTGTAAACTAAAGTTTTCTAATAGACACATGAAAATCTATAGAGTAACATAATAGCAGTGCATGTATATCTTGATAATAAAATAAATTAAAGAAACAGTAAGGCTTTTCTTCCAGCCCTGATGATTTCTTTATAATTTAAGAGGTAGTAATATATTTTATGACTGCAGTCAGTACTCTGGATCCTTCTGTATTCCAATTCAGACTATTATCCTTCAGATAATAGCTATGCTATAGATAATACACATAGCATTTAGCTATGTGTATACTCAGGTAAGTATGTACTCACCTAGTTGTGCTTGCTGGGGTTGACTTTCGGCTCTTTGGTCCCGCCTCTCAACCGTCAATCTACTGGTGTACGATTCTTGAGCTTCTCGAGCTCTATCATATCTATTTGAAACTGTGTATGGAGTCAGCCTCCACCACCTCACTTCCTAGTGCATTCCATTTACTAACTACTCACACTGAAAAATGTCTTTCTAATGTCTCTGCGGCTCATTTGGTTACTCAGTTTCCACCTGTACCCCTTTGTGCGTGTACCACCCGTGTTAAATAATCCCTCCTTGTCTACTCTGTTAATTTCCCTGAGGATTTTGTATGTGGTGATCATGTCTCCCCGAGCTCTTGTGTATACCCAGCTGTATATATATCTAGATGCATTTGTATACCCACCTGTGTGTGTACTTAGATGCGTGTCCATACCCACCTGCATCTGTGCAGCATACCCATCTGTGTGTACACACTTATCTGTGCTTGTTGCCTATTTGTTATTGTTTAGATATATTGTAGAGCCTTGTTTATTTATTTATAAATGTAGTACAGGCTATTATCTATACAAAAGATTTTTGTTTATCTGCAGATGCTTGGGGTTAGCCTTTCACCAGAACTCCTTCACCACGTCAAGGAATCATTCTTGAGGGAGAATAAAAAATATATCTTATTAGTTTTTCAAGTTTATACATTTGCTTTCTTTATTAAACAGTGTGAAAGGCTATCTGGTAATCCAGAAAGGTGTATTCCTTCCATCTCTCTCTTGTGTGGCTGTTGACATCTTGTTATGAAACTCAAGGTTTGCTAGGCAACTTTACTTCTGTGAACCCATATCATAAAATGTCTTCCATTGCTCAACCATTGGATGGTAGAACGACGGTCTCCCTTCATGCAGGTCTGCGTTCACTCCCTGACCGTCCAAATGGTTGTGCATCTTTCCTTCCCATCCCAAGTCCTTATCCTGACCCCTTCCCAGTGCTATATAGTAGTAATGGCTTGGCGCTTTCTCCTAATAGTTCCCTTACCAGACCGTCCAAGTGGTTGGACACCATTCCCCCCCCCCCCCCATCCCATCCCGAATCCTTATCCTGATACCATCTAAGTGCTATATAGTCAAAATGGCTTGGCGCTTTCCCTGATAATTCCCTCCCGTCCCTCCATTGAAAGTGTTCCACTTGTTTCCTTATGAATTCATCTAGGACCTTTAAAGTATACATGTCAGTGATACAAGCTTGTAGTTTAGAGTAATGCTTGTACTACTCTATTTGTATATTCTAAAAGGAAATCCCTCGCTCTATGATCCTTAGTTAATACATTTAATGAGCTTGCCATATATTGGGTTCTTTCAGAAGTTGGGTACTTATTTTAAATTTTTGTAAAAGTGTAATTTTAATACAAGTTCACTAACAGAAATATTGTTTTGTATGATTCTGCTTTCATATGCAAGATAACTTTTCTCTTTCAGATGCTTTTACTGTACTATATTTCATATGACAAACACCATGAAACATTATGAGGTTTACATACTTAATTAGAACTACACATCAAACATATAGTATCCACATAATTATCCTATTAGTGTTGTAGAGTCCATTGTCTAATTTCATCCAATAGACTGCTTTGCTCACTTAATAATTGTCAATGCTGATAGATAATAGCTTGCTCTGATGTATAGGGTTAATGAATGAGGCATATGATGGGTTCCTAAGCTAAAGTTGAGCACTTATGCAGATCTTTTTATTCATAGTACAGGAATTACTGTAAGGAAAGAAGGAATTCTTATAAATGCTTGACTTATTTTCAAGTTTGTTATGTGGTAATTTTTCTGCCATAATTTATACCTTCCGGGGATACCTAAGGATATTATGCGCATCCTGGAAGTCAAGACATTCAACAAGAATATGCCCGACCGTAAGAGGGACAATGCAATTTGGACAATAAGGAGCAGGGCAGCGCTACATTAAGTGACCGTGAGTTAAGTGTGCATGGCTAATATGCAACTAGCACCAGAGTCGTTTCCCATCGCCGGTTATGGTGGTAGAAGGAAGGCCATGAGGACACACTACTCTTAAGAGTACGCAGTTTGTTATCAGTAACAAAGACCAACAATCCTGCCAAAGGGTAAGGATGGAGGAATGAATAACTGGGTAAAAGTCAGAATAAGGAATACCTTTACGGGAGATGGGACAAGAGCGGATAGCTTCCCTAGCGGCAGTGTGCACACGCTCATTTAAAGAGACACCAATATGACTGGGAACCCAGCAAAACTCAAGTGACATAAATTTACTGGAAATAAATTGTAAGGATCCTGTTAAAACTCTGCCACATCTAACAATATCCAAGTAACCATCATCATTCCTTCCAAATTTCATTATCACTATAAATTCCCTGCAATACTTCTATTTGATGATGATAAAGTAAAATATTTTAATTTAGTTTTATATTAAATCTTTACATTACTCATAAAAAAAAATAAAACAGGATTTAACAACTCTTATTCTATTTACAAAAATTTACAAGTGTACATAAAATAATGTTCTAAGCTATTTACACAATGTAAATGATATATATATATATACAGTATATATATATACAGTATGACAACTTCATTAATACTGTACAGAAAAAACTGAGATTTGCCTAATACTGTACAGCATATTTTGCAAAGTTGAATAGATCTCCAAATGTATGCAGCTTAAAATACTTAATCACCTCAGTGTATAGTGCTACTTCCACAATATTCTTGTGAACTCTGAGGTGAAATGGTGGGGGAAGATTTAAAGCCAACTACAAAGCCTGGAAGCCATTGGTTATGTATTCACAATTGGAAAATATCTCATGGAATCAAAATCTAATACCTGTATTTAACTGGAAAAATACTTCAGTACGTTTTACAGCAAATATATATAAAGAATGACTGAGTAGTTTCATAAATCATGAATGAATCTTATGATATGTTTGGAAGCAGAAGTTTCCCTTTATGTTTTTGCATGCTATGAATATGTGAAAACACTTGAAGGGTCAGTTCTAAATATAAAACTCTTTATAATATAATAATAAGTTAATACAACTTAGTAACAATAAACCCAGATTTATTTACTGCAGTTGGTCAATACAGCAATTAATTATCCGAAGAATGAACCAAGCCATAGAGACCATTTAGCACCATCTGTGTTGCCAAATCTTACAAAATTCAAGATATAGTTCAGGATGCCAATATGAGAGCAAAATGCCATCAGTGATGTCAAAGGTATCAGATTCGTCTAAGATTTTATCAAGGGACATAAAACTCAAAGAAACATTGCTGTTTGGAACAGCAAGGTTTCCAAACATCATGAAAATCTGAACCAGGATTCATCCGTGCATGAAAGCATTTATGTGACTACTTATGAAACCTGTATACCGTACTTGTCCACAATCATAACAGTTTAGTTTACACATATGAAAGTTTATGAACTCCAAAGTGCTACAAAGTTGTTTATAACAATAATAAGAGTGGATTGCAAAATGGTGAAAAACATAAACCATTTAATAAATACATGCTAAGCCACCATTATCAAGGAAAAATGTACAGGTTTCGTAAGTAGACACGTAAATGTTTGATGAATCCTAAACCAGACATTCTACGAGGAAGCATGCTACTGATCAAGGAAAGTGAACAGTTCTCTATGCCAGCATATCTCAACACAAACAAAATTATTAAATGTTACTATAAATACAATTACTCTGCCCCCTCTCTTTGTACTTATATACAGTATATAAAGTGTATACTGTGTATGTGTATGTGAATATGTACAGTATATATATACACACACACCTGGTAGTATGTGACAGCACATTATCATTTGGCAAAAATTACATATTTGTATAGATATAAATTCTACCATACAAATCAAACAATAACATGAAATACTGTATTCTTAAAATACAAATGCCTCCATCCTATCTGCACATATACAGGTATTATACAATACTGTAAGAACAAATAGTGAGAAATTATATAGAAAATTAATGTAGGAATATATGTATGAGTAGATGGTGGGTAACTGTATAAGTGGGTGATGGGTAGGAGTCTACAAGAGTGGTGAAGGTATTGGAAGATGTATGACTGTATGAGTAGGGAGGGGGGTGTTGGTGGATGCTATAATGTAGTTTCTTGCCTCCTAACAGTGCCATGTTTTCAAGGCAAGCACAAATGTCTAGTTATTAGGTGGGCCGTGAGAGTGCACCAGTGTTTGTTGTGATGATTCTAGTATTCAAGATCATTCAAGAGATCTTGAATACTAGTACCCTTCACTTATTTAAAAACACTGCAAAATATATTATGATGTGTTGCTAAATACTTTACAATACAGTCAAAATAGGAGGAAATGTTAATGCTAAATTGAACAAATAGAAGCATCATTATACACTTTGAGATTAGGATTTAAAAACATGGCTAAATACTTTACAATACAGTCAAAATAGTCATTACACTTTGAGATTAGGACATGGCAGCATGTCATTTGCGAGTAATTAACCCGATGTTATGTACAGCACGTTACCAAGAAGATACTGTATATCCAATGCAATAACCAATCATGAATGAAGATGCCCCATAGCCCAACAACTCTGCCCAACAACAGTTACATTCATTTTATAATTATATAGTAATGTTGCAAGTTTTAATTCAATATAATGAGGCATTCTAAACATATTAATGGTAAATGATTATAAAAAAAAAGGAAATTGTCATTAGTATGGGGCTACATTGCTCTTGAATATCAGTCACACTTTTTTGTTCCAAACTAAGAACATTTAAATTGAAGATGATGTAATGATGTGATCTTGAGATATTTAGCAAAAATCTCAATAACAGAAAAAAAGAAAAACACACAAATGTCAGGATAATAACATAGTGCAGTGTTAATGTCTGGAAACTGCAAAGTGTGTATCAAGTCCCTAGTCATCTGCACAGCAGACAAATATTCAAAAACATGAATACTCGTAAAAGGCAAACCCTTTACTTTCACATTGTTCGTACATTTGTTGACGACTACAGCTTAATATTAACTACACAATTAAGAGGAGGTGCTGGAAGCCTGAGGATTGATCACATGGATGCTGACTTAAACAGGCCACACATCAGCCTGACAGCCATCATTTGGTTTTCTAAACAGTAATATGAACTGTGAAAATTCCTTCAGCTGGCAATTATCATTCAGTTGCTCTTAAATTATTACATTATTACTCAGGGTTCCCATGCAAATCTGATTTTATGTACCATGACAATTCTCTGATATTCTATTACCTGCAATAAATTGATGCAATATTTGTAATGAAAAGACCAGAAAACTAGAACTGTACATAGAAAATAATAATATTAACAAAACCCAATTGGAAAAATACCATAAAGAAATCCATGAATTTTAAAAAGCTGACTAAAGAAAAAATATTATTGTAATATCAACTTTTGACTATATTTCATGGATTTACCATGACCAAGAGAACTCTGCAAGTACAGTACTTAGCAACACTGTCTCTCCCTGTGATCATGGTAATGCAACAGTGTAAATTTTCAACTTTACATACGTTGTCTTGTACCTAGACAAAAATAAACAAAAATATACAAGTAATAAGAGTAAATAAAGCAAAAAAAATTACAATCGTATACGTACAGTACATACTTTTTAAATATCTCTGCTAAAGCAGAATCAATAAAACAAAGTAAAATAGAATTCATGCTCATGACACTATGTACTGTGTGCAAGCTTGTAATAAGGCAACTTAACTAAATACTGGTGAGAGCAGTTATATTTACTCATGAATACAATTTGTATTGGAATTATTGTGATTTGTGTTTTTTTTATTTTGAATAATACTCTTATAACAGAGTAACCACTGTTTAGCTTTATAAAGTATACTTATATAAAAAAGAACTATATGAAGCTTTTAAATAACAAAATATAAATAATAATACTCTGGAATGTAAACAATGGCCACTGGTGAAACAAATTACTTGTCATATGTATGTTAGGATGATAAGAGTCTAGTTATTTGATCTAGTTATTACTTGCCTTCCACTCTTGGGTAACATTTTGCATGAAAATTATCTCAAACATTTTAAGTTTACTTAATCAAGAACAACTTACGTCAATTTTGTTATGTCACATAATCACTGTGTTGTATTTGGAGTTGCCACAGAATTACATTACACCACATCTAAGCCACTTGGAAACAAATTAAAATGAAATTTACTTATTAATGCTGAATGTTAGGAACATTCCCTGTGTTGTTTGTTTGGTTATTGTACAGTATTATCGTCCATCCATTCATTTCTAGTAGGCTAGTTCTCAGTAATCCAATAATTTCTTGTACTGTATAAATACAATCTTTCAAGAATTCTCACAGGACTATGATCTTCTCAATCAATCCATTCTAATATTAGACTGCAGAGATTATCATACAGTATATATAATTTATATACAAAGATGAAATTTTTTACTTTTTATGAGAATTGTAATTTTCTTTCCAAAGTTATAATGATCCTAAGTTATAATAGTGCCAGAAGGAGCAGTACCCTCAGCAATGATAAATGACCCATCAGCTAAAGTATGAGCATGAGCAACTAATGTGGCTGCCATAGCCTGTTCGTCTGCTGCTTGTAGCTGCTGTTCTGTAGATGGGTCCCCTAACTGAATCTTGTGCTTACGCCACATGTGAGCCTTCAGATTACCTTTGGTTTCAGATGCATATTCGCATCGATTACAAGGGAATGGCTTCTCTCCAGTATGAATTCTAAGATGAACATTTAAAGTTTCTTTCCGCTTAAAGCTCTTTGAGCAAAAGTCACATTGAAACTGTGGTCTAGTTTCATGAACCATGCTGACATGTTTTTTAAGAGCCATGGCACCCCGCATAACTTTGCCACATATCTGGCAAGCAACTTCTAATTTACGATCTTCATGCTGTCGTTCATGCATGTTAAGCTTCCACTTTTTGCTAAATGTTTCCCCGCAATGACTGCATATGAAGAGCCCTCCTGTATCTCCTACTTGTATATCATGCAAACTATATTTGTGCCTTGCTAATGACTTTGAATTGGACATTTGCTTATTACACATTTCACAAATAAGGTTTCGTTTAATACACTGGCGATCAGGGCAAACGGGATTATCAGGACTAATTGGCAGTGTCAAATCTTCACCTTTGCATTCTTTCTTACGGCAAAAGTTGCAGCCTTTCGCCAAGAATACAGCAAGGCTTAGAGGAAGTATTCCTTGCTCTTCTACTTGATCCACCATTATGTGCATGATCAACTCCTCATGAAATGACGGGTTCACATAAAGTTCAAGATCAGACACTGCTCTCCGTTTTAAATCTATACTTACGTGCTGAAAGCAAGCGCGTGTCAAAGCACTTCCAGGGCCTGACAGAAGCTCATCTCCATTACCTGCTATTCTGTTCACAAGATCATCAAGGTCTTGTGGTGTAGAGGAATCATCAGGCAAAACATCGCCTTCAAGTAATGGAGGCATTAATGTATCCTTACTGCTAGAACCTGTACCTCCACTACCTGCATCTGCCCTCCCAACTGCTTTTCTTCCCATTCGAATCCGATATCGATACATTGCTATCATATGCACATATTTAGAAATGTGTTGTGGATCAATTTGATGATAATTGATGATCTGCATATCTCCTACTGTTATGGTTTCTACTTCCTGCACCACTGGATCACCTATTGATGCCTTGTTATAAGCCTCATCTATTAAAGGGTTTCCAGTATGAGTGACCAATATTTCCACATTAAATCCACTTCCTTCCCCATCTGCCCTTCCTTGTTGATGCATCAAGTTATTCTTCTCTAGGACTTCATTCATAACTTCTGAGAAAAATTTTGTAAGTTCATTCTGATCAAAAAGTTTGGTAAGCAAAATATCTGCATGCCACAGTGTTATTATATGCTGTGATGTTCTAGCAATCTGCAGTGTTGAAGCAGAAGGATCAAAGAGTTCCTCAATCTTTCCCAGAAATGGTGTTAATGCACTATCTACAATTTTCTGAACTGACACCTGAAACAAAAATAAAGAATAACAAAATCACATGGACACTGATTATTCTCTTCTTGGCAAAAGCCACAATGACATATGTGAAAAAATAAGACAGATTTGAAAGTGCAAGTGATGAAGTTCAAATAAGAGAAACCAAAGTTAAAGAATTAAAATGTGACATTTAATACTGGTAATTCAAATATGGAGAAAATAAAGTAGAACACCAGTTGACACTGTAGAGAGAATCAAGCTCAATAAAATAATATAGTAATTACTAAGGAATAAATATTGAGGCCATAAAATGGAATTGAACCCACATCCATGCACTACCAACTGGACTATAGTGGGCCGCACTGGATAGTACGTGTGCCTGAGAAGTTCGAGGAAGCAAATTAAATTTCATTGTATGGCCTCAACATTTATTCACATATTCATCAAGTTTTTGTGATTTCTGTTTGGAATCTCTAAGGAGTTGAGTATCTACTTCAACTTTTCACGTGGACAACTGAGATCAGCCATTCACCTCAGAATATTATGTTTTGTGTAAGTATATTTTGACTTTTATTTATAATGTTGCTAATCCTCATACACTAAATAATATGGACCTGTCTAGCTTTAAATATCTTTATTAGACCTCCACAAGCATTTATTAGACAGGACACCAAGAGTTTATACTCACACTTATCAATTTGGGAAAGCTATCCAAAGCCTATAAGTGGAAACGTAGTACTGCCCTAAGATGTCCTAAGCAACACATTATAATTTCTAACCATAAAGAACATCAACTTATATATGGTAAGTTTAGTTAGGTTTAAATTCAGTCTGATTCAGATCCTAACTTGAGATAACAGTCTGCAAACTTACAGCCCTGAATGAATCACAAAATAATTTCCTAACTTAGAAAGTGATAAGCTATTATATTCAAGACACATGAAATGACTACCAACCTTCATCTTGCCATGGACATCATCTCCCACATCACTATCAATAGCTTTTCTTCTTCTTCGTCGTTCCTCTCCCCTGAATCCTTCGTCCCCACCGGTCCCATCCACTGTCTCACCAGTTTCAGACAAAAGTGGCAAAACCAGATTCTCTAGATTGTCCTCACCGTGTTCTCGTTTGATTCGTTTTCTAGCACGACGGGGTTCCTTTTCCTCTACCTGATGAACATTCCTGATTTAATATTTTATATGTCTGACCACTTGAGAGTGATCAAGAAAGTTATTAACTATCCAGAACCTGATATGAACAATTATGTTTAAGAAGTATGTGGAGTAAAATGACTACATTGTGCAGTAATGAGTATATGAAGTATAATGAGTTCAGGGAATGTAATGAGCACAGATTGGTGTAATAAATAGGGGACTGGTGGAATGAGCACAGATTTGGGTAATGAACAAAGGCAGGTATAACAAGCACCAGCTAGGTATAATGAGCACAGACTGGGTGTAATGAGTACAGGCTGGGTGTAATGAGTACAGGTTGGGTGTTGTTGCAAGGGGTAAAGGTGGTTAAGTTGAAGTGGCAAGTGAGTAAAGTTGCAGGTAGTTGTGGTTGAAGTGCTTTTCTTGGTGGTTACAGCAACAGTGGTGGTGGTGGCTGTGATTGTAGAGGCAAGTGTGCTGTTTGTAGTAATGAATGTAGGATTTGAAGTTATAGCTGTAGTTTTGGTTGTTGCTGTAGTAATACAGCAACAACCACCATAATAGTTTTTAAGTAATACAGTAGTAGTAGTTGTTTTGCTGATTTTGATTATAGTTATGGCTGTTTTGGCAATTCTGGTTATGGTGGGGATAATAGTGGTATCTGTTATCATGGTTGTAGTGTTGGTTATGACTGCAGTAGTGGTTTTGACTCATGATTATGGTAGTATCAATAGCAGTGGTTGTGGTAACAGCAGCGGGTTTGTCATGGTTACTGATTGTGTTAGTGTTTCCAATGGTTGCATTTCTTACTAATCAGTGACACCAAGGGAGTGAGATCTAGCTCTTTATGCCTCACCTAGCTCTTTATATTTGGTATGCTAATTACCTCTCAACTTTAACATTTCCATCACATTTTTTCTTAATGCTTTGAATTGAAGTAGCATTGACAACTTCCTCCTTTAATACATTCCACTTGCCAATCACCTGCACATGGTGCAAGAATTTCCTAACATCTCTACGACTGAATTTTGCATCCAGATTTTACTGACGATGCCTTCTACTTTTTAACAACTTAAATGGGCTACCCTTGTCCATGTTGTTTATTGCCCCTCAGTATCTTGTATGTTAAAATCCTATTTCCACTGTTTCTTCTCTCCTATAAGGATGTAAGGTTGAGTTCTCTTAACCTGTTCTTCCAGAAACATCAAGTTGCAAACATCTGAACTTTCTCAAATTTCCTTTTGTGCTCCGTGAAGTCATAGCTGGTGCTGCATACTACAATAATAGTCTCACATAGGCAGTGTATATTGACTCCAAAGTCTTCTTGTTTAGATTTTTAAATGATATTCTTTTGTTTGCCAACATCCAACATGCTGCTGACACTATCCTGTTCACATGAGTTTTTGGTACAGGTATTAGTATTTACCTATGTGAACACAAACATAATTTTAAACAAAGATGTTAGTGGTAAAGCCAGCTAGTGAACATAACTTTGTATCTAAGCAACACTATGGCAAAGAAATTTTTTGGCTATTCTGCTCATTTTGATCAAATAGCTTTCTATCACCTGGTGGGTGATAGAAAGATGCATTTAAATATTGCAGCAGGTGAAAGGATTAAACTGCTAAAAATATTCAGGCAATGTTAAATCAGTTCTCAAAGAATTATTTATAGTACCACAAGTTATATACTGTACTGAATGAACTACATACTCTACTAAACTATACTGTAACATGATAGCATTGTAAAAATAATTTACCTCTCTTCCAGCCACTTCCTGATCATACAGTTCCAAGGCTTCCTTCATTTCAAAAAGACTGAGAACTTTCCTGATGGAGGCAGTACCCTTACCCCATAGGGTGGTCATTGAACCTGTTTATTTGGGTAATATATCATTACATATTAGTCTTTCTCTATGAAAGTTGCACAATTGTATCTAATATTACAAAATCTAAAATTACAAAATCAGAATTTTCCCTGTCTAAAAAAATCTAAAACAATCTTACCTGTATACATATATGACACAACCGCATCCACAACATCAAAATTTACATCAATAGGGAGAGTGAACCGGCAAAACTGGTATAGGTACTTTAGTTTCTTCCTACGAAGATACATTTGTCGATAAAAGTAAGGGCTTCGAGCAACTAGGACAGCTCGATGGGCCTGAGAAGAAAATAACGATCATTAGAAAATGCTTACATAACTGAATTAAATAACTTATGGCACCTGGGAATTAATGCATCTGCAATTCAAACCAGTATATTTAATTCATGGTTATGTATGCATATTATATGGCATTCACTAGTGATATGTTTCAGTAAAGGAACTTATTTTGTGTAAAACTAAAATTGAGCTTTGAGTGGAGATGAAAAGCTCTTTTCTGAACAAGTCAATCAGTTGTTCCCTTCAGCAATGTTCAGCACTCCCAAAACATGATAAAAATCCAGCCACATCAGTGTAATTTCCATCCCTGATGGAGCAAGATCTGTTCAAGTCGCCCCCATTTCTGACCTTCAGAAGGCTTATATATCTACACTCAAAATACCTTTACAAAGAAGCTGCAAAGCATTACACTGGTAAACTGCTAGCTGGCTACCTGGTCACTAACCCAGCACATCACCCACATTGTCAGCAGAAGGAGCCTGGATACGCACCTCTCTTTCATACTAAGCTCCTCCCTGCCAACATATCCTGGCTAACATGATCAATTACAAATTAAATGTTTAATATTCATCCTAACACTTTGGATGAATTTGATTATCTTGTGCAGTGAGTCATTACTGTTCAGTACAAAATTACCATCCCTTTGTAGTTGGGTTTTCTCTTTTTAAGCTTACACCCTGACTATTGCAAAGCTTTAGGACTTTGTCCCATATAGAGATAAATAAATCTTTATTTATAGAGATAAATAGCTGGGCACACAATTTGCAGTTCATTTACTTGTCATGGTTTCTTTGCGTGTGTTTGTAATTAGTTCAACACTCAGGCCTTTCAAGATAATACTATGTAACTTGTTTTTTCTTTTTTATTCAGTCAAGAGCATGTCCTTGCCTTTTCTTGTCTCTGGTTGACAGGGTTAGGGAATAGCATACTGAGAACCTATGGGAGTCTTTCAACCAGGTCTCTTCTTCAGGCTGTGCTCTATGACATCCTGTTCTCCTGGGTTGTTCACTTTTCTACAACATCAGGATTGAGTACAGACTTAAGAATACTGGTACTAATCCCAGCAGAACTTCTCATTATTGTAACCAAATTCAATAGGGTCACCCTTACACTTGTATAGGTTTGGTTACAACCCATGAATAGAACCAGTGAAGAGCAGAGGTGCCATAGGCACAATCAGAGAACACTGTATAAACATCAGAGGTCCGCGGTTGTTCAACGTCCTCCCAGCAAGCATAAGAAATATTGCCGGAACAACCGTGGACATTTTCAAGAGGAAACTAGATTTATTCCTCCAAAGAGTGCCGGACCAACCGGGCTGTGGTGGGTATGTGGGCCTGCGGGCGCTCCAAGCAACAGCCTAGTGGACTAAACTCTCACAAGTCAAGCCTGGCCTCGGGCCGGGCTTGGGGAGTAGAAGAACTCCCGGAACCCCATCAACCAGGAATCAACCAGGTATGAGTACTTACTAAAATTAATATCTTTATGATAATAACCTTTCCAAAATTACTGTATTGTACTAAAAGAACAATTAACAATAACTTAAAAGAAATAAGCATTTATACCTACGTAAACCATTTGTCGTTTATCCATATCAACAAGAGCAGTGTTACAGTCAATACGTAATTGCCTCATCTGCTCTAAGGCATTGCCGAGAGACGGGTCCCCAAACTGATGATAAGATGGTTCCGTTGCTACATCCTCTAGCCCATCAGTAGCCCCTCCATCGTCCCACATTGGGGGAGGAGGTGGTTGTACTTTCCTTGGCCTTCCCAGACGACCCGGGACTCTCTCCACAGGAGATACATTTAGAGGATCTCGTGGTCCATAACCAACTACCTAAGAAGTACAGCACATTTGTTTTAGTGTATATATGTCAATTTAAAAGGTATACAGTAATATTTAAATAATATATAAATAGTTGTTGAACTATTGTAACTGTAGCCAAAATATAAGGGCTAATATGTAAATCCAAATTAAGTAAAATATGATATACTCACCTTTACATCATCAGTTTCATCAATAAGAACAGTAACTTGCTCAATTCTAAATGGTCTGTCTCCATCATGGTCCTTCTTAATCTTATTCAAATCAATGAGTGTAGCATTTGGAGCTAATTTGGTAACTGAGCCAGGAGGTGGCTGAACCGGAGCTGGTAAAGGCTGGCCATTGGGTCCAAGTGGTGTCCCGTCAGCTGAGGTGTTAAAGATCGGTGGGATATTTGATCCACAGGTTATAGATGAGCATCCATTTTGTGTAACCTGCAAAAGCAAACAGTCAAACTTTGTGGTGGAGGCACATTCCATATACATCGTTTCAAATGTAGAATGACACAGCTCGATAAGCTAAGGAACCTGTACACCAATGGATTGACAGTCGAGAGGCGGGGGACCAAAAAAAACTGAAGCTCAAACCCACAAGCACAACTAGGTGAGCACATCGTCTTGGTACATTGGACAGAATACCTATGGGAGCAGTGGAATGACACCCAGGAGAGTAACGCCCTGTATAGACATCAATTTACTATGATATTAAGGTTCTTTGAAAAATATGACATACTGTATCTTGTATTAAAATCATGAACATTTAAAGTAATATAGACTACTTAAGGGCATGGACGGAGGGATTCCGAGGCTAAGAGAAAGACAGCCCATACTTTGTATTGGACTGTACTGTGTTTGAGAAAATATAAATAAGTAGACACAAGCTCACAAGGTATTTTATTTATTTTATTTACTGTACCTGAATAAACAAAAATATAAGGAAGCAATGGAATGCTAGAAAGATGATGAACCCTTGAGATACAACACAGATTTGGTTTTTAAGACCACAATAGAGGTCCAAATAAGGGATTAAGGCCGAAGCAGGTCACTACTTGTAAATATTAAAAATAAAAATTAGAAATGTTAAAAGTTACCTGGTTTGGTATAGGATTAAATAAGTTAGGGTTCGGATCTGGATGATTGCGTGTTGGTGCTCCTGCTGGGAAGTGTCTTTGACATGCATGGACAGCCAAGCGAACATCATCTAGCCCCAACACCATCATCCAACGCCGGTGGCCTTCCTCATCCTTGCTCTTTCTTACTGAGTACACAACCACACCTACAGGGGGAAAAAAAATTAAAAATATATACAATATATGATAGGGAAAAAGAGCCCAATACTCGTACAGTACTGGTACGGGTATTGAAATATATTTAAATATAGCTTACGAAACAAATTCAAAGCTATCTTTTAAAATATTTTATCATGTTATATTGGCTCATAGAGGGCAAAGAATACATTTTTATTTATTTATATACAAGAAGGTACATTGAGTTCATGAGAGTACAGAGACTTGAAGTTTGACATTCTTGTAGAGCCACTAGCACGCATAGCGTTTCGGGCAGATCCTTAATCTAACATATAATTTTGCGAAGGTAATTTCTAGCAAAATTAAACATGTAACATATTAAAACATAATAACATATTAATATAATAACCCATAGCTTTCTGCTGCACCCACCCTCCTTCAGCAGGTTGGGTCCCTTTCCCCACCCTTGGAGAGGACATAAACAGTACCTTTATATGGCCCCTGATACATCCTCCTGATCTGATTCATCATTCTCCATGCTTTCTTTGTTACCCCTTAAGTTCTACCTTAAGTTCTATCAAGCATTTACATGCCCACTTATAATTAATTTTGTTGGGGGACAGGCAGCAAGTGTATATATAGATGTTAGGTTTACACTGAGGCCCCCCCCTCCCAAATTCAAACTACTGATCCTTCCCAGGATGCAACTCTACAACAAGCTGATTAACTCCTGGGTTCCTATTTTCTGTTAGGGAAACAGGAGTGACAGGAAATGCACCCAACCATTTCTGTCCCATCCAGTATTCGAACCCGGAAATACTGATTGTGAGACGGGAACGACCTGACTGTAATACTGGAAAAGCTGTACAACTTTCCTCAATGGTGGCGGCTTAGCCTGTATCTATTAAACGATTTACGAGCTTGGAAACTTCACACCACTAAGGTCATTATGGTTATAAACAACTTCATAGCGCTTCAGAGCTCATATATTGTATAAACGTAAATTAAGCCATCATGATAAGAGGAAAGATGTACAGGTTTCATAAGTGGCTGCATAAATGCTTGATTAATGCTGGACCGTGGTTTTACCTCCTTAAGTCTTCACAGAAGCCTGACATATTCACAGGCCAGTGCTGAAGGTTAGAGAATCTACCAAAGGGGGCTTTGCTCCAAAAAAAATTAATTATTTGCTTAGAAAGCAAGAAAATTATAAGGAGAAAGATCTAAGATAGGTTGACTATATAGCATATGGAAGGGATATGAGGACGAGCTGGGACTGGAGGATGGAGTGAAGGAATGACATGTAACCATGTAGACCATTGGGGATCGAACGTCGGCTTGCAAGAAGCAAAGCCATCGCTGTACTAAATAGTGCAAGTGGCTGGACCATATAATTTGTTTAAAAATTTATAAAATATACCTGGAGAAGAGGCACCACATCCTGGTACATGACATCTTCTTGATATTCCTCTAACATCTCCAGCAATTGACATAACCTGCAGTTCCAATCACCTGTTGAAAATATATTTTGCATTTGAGAAATACTTTACAATACTAAACTGTCAATGGAACGTGCATGAAACATAGGGTAAACCAGCACACTCCTTTCCCAGAGCATTACAAATTAATTTATAACAAATATTTTGCAATAACATTAATTATTTTTATATTTTGATGCAATACTCTGATTGCATCAGAGTATTGCTTTTGATGTACTCCTGAGGGAGTCAGGTCAAGATGCTTTTTTTAGCAACTCACCCCTACCATTTAGGGCATGAGAGGTTATGCTGGATTTGGCTACATTCTTTTTGGGTATAAATTGAACTGAAGTACCTAAAAGCCACCTAATGGCTTTGTTTCCCATTGTCAGAGCAACCTGTCCTCTTAAAAAGAACGTTGCTTTTGGCCGTTTGCCCATATGGCCGAATGTGGAAGTAATTTGAAAATGAAAAAAAATGAATATAAATTTGGGATTTTTTTTTTTTCAATGACAGTAAGTTAAGGGTCCTCTGATAGGTAAGGTGGGCAGGAAAGTCTCATAAAGTTTCAAAATGGTATGAAAAACGTTAATGGAAAGTTTCCTTTTCTAAGCTTGCCGAGTAAGCCAGACGACTCAAACAGAAAACGGAACAGTACGTCACTTTTGTGAGTCGATTTAATTTCAAATTACGTTCAAATTTGGCCATAGCGCGCATACCAGCAAAAACTAACGTTATTTTTAAGAAGACGGGTTGGTCAGAGACAGGTATCGTGGTCTCCCTAGGCCAACTACTGACCTTTCCCAAAATGCAACCCACAACAGTTGCCTAATTCTCGGGTACCAATTTATTGCCGGGTGAACAGGCATATCAGGTGAAAAGAAATATCCCCAATTTGTTGCCCTGCTTCAGAAATCAAATCCAGGACCTACTGATTGTGAAAAAAATAAAAAAAAATAAAATAAAATGTTTATTTAGGTAAGGTACATACATACAATAAATTTTTACAAAGATTGGTCGACTTATAGGTAGAGCTAGTACATACAATGCCTAAAGCCACTATTACGCAAAGCGTTTCGGGCATCTAACCAACCATGCTGACAACTGCACTCTTTATGTTTCTATATTGTAGTTTTTTTTTACTGTATTGGTAAAACCTTTATTTTGCACTGATTAAATTTGTATATTTGATTTCTGTTACAGGATTCTTGCTGACTATCTTGCAAATTGGGTCTTTAAGTTACAGAAAAGTAGTCTTCTTACCTATTTATTGGGTAGGGGGGCTGAGGGGGATTTTATGACTACCATGGGGGTCCTCAACATAAGACTAAGGTACCCAAGTCAGGGACAGTCTGCCTGTCCCTCAAAAAATTAATCATAATCATAGAGCTAAATGTTTCATCTGCTGCTGATATTCACATCCTGGATAGAAAATTGTCTTTACTTTGTGAGGATGATAACACTGGATGTAGAGGTGTATGTCCATGTTCTGGTAAACCTAATCTGACCTTAGCTAAACGTAAACAATGTCAAATTAACGAACTCGAAACAATTAAATTAAATGTTTGTTGGTACAACACATTAATAGGAAAGATTTTATGTAGCTATACCTCCATAGCCAAATCCACTACTTTGTACCTGAATTTACCTAAGAGCCACTAATACTCTAGTGGCCTTGACGAGGGCAGGAAGCTGGAGGCTTGTCAAATGTCCCCCCATTTGCCCTGATTATTCTTTTCAGCTGAGTTTTAAAATTAACTAAAAATTTGTTTATGTATTCTTAATTGAGGTACAGCTAGCCTTGCTGTGTATAGAAAAATAAATAAGCATTATAATACTATATGCATAAACATCTTCATTTATACAAACAGCTGTGGTAATGTTACATGTCAGATTTGTGCAGTCTGTAGTCAGTATAATTCCCTCATATAAGTTTCAAGTAAGACTTTAAGAGGGAAGGGTTATAATTACAGTAATGGATTCTTAATTATCATTATAGTTACAATTAGCTCTGTACAACTTTCTCTAAAATCCATAGACTATGTGTAATATATTAATAATAATTAATAAGAAGCAAGTTAGGTTCAATAATTTGCTACATTTTAGACATTATAGTTAAGTTTGTAATTATTTTGGCTTAAGCTTGATACCTTAAAGACTTGGATATTTGGTTATATTTGATTATTTAAGAATTATTTGTTATGTATGTTAGGTAAGGGCAGTCTGAAATGGGGCGACTTAACTCGAAGCTAGCCAGCCCATTTTAACACATAATTTAACCATGAAAACTAAATGTATATATATAGCAGGTTAAGTTTAACAGAAATAATTCAGGTGAAAAGGAAGCTAAATAAATTAAGAAGTGCATTCAAGCTAAATAAATCAAAAAGTGCATTCAAGTGTTTAATGTTCCGTCAAGCGCTTAAGCAGATTATCGGGGCGTTATTCACCTCCTAACACCGATAATCTATTTAATTATAACGGGCTGATTATATCACGGTACAGTACTCCTGAATCGTGTCATGTCCAGAGTATAATTTGTGATGTGTCAATATCTGGAGCGCTGCCATCTCTCTCTACATGTGAGGCGAGCACCAGCCAGTATTTTAGTCTCCTCTTCCACTTCCCATCAACAAGCAGCTTTACCCTGCATCATATACACGTGTGGCGCCATAAGAGGAGGCAGGCGAGTGCTGGCCGAGGTGCTGGCACCCCCTCGCAGCCTCCACTCCCTCGATCATTCAAACATCTCACGCCACCTTACCTCTTATAAATATAAGCTCACCAACACCACCTTTGTGAAAATGGCGGCGACACAGAGGGCAGCACCGTGCAGCTCTCCCTCCTCCTCCTCCTCCTCCTGCTACTCTGACATTGTAATTGCAATGAATTTTGTAACTTCTTCATTAAGAGTGTAATTTGCTGAGCTAAATGAATTGTGGGGTTCAGTCCCTGAGCCTATTATGTGTCCTCTGTAACTCTTTCCACTGCCGCCCACAGGATGGGTATAGGGTGCATAATGAATGAAGTGAACTAAAACTATTGTAATTTCCAGAATATGTTGGGATACCGTTGCTTACATCTGGTAACTATAGGTAACGAATTCCGAGTACTCCTAACATTTGTCCTCAGTTCTCTGAACAATCCCCCGAACAATTGTAAACTCTAGGTAATTGTAAAGGTAAACTCTACAAAACTAGGTAAAGGTGAACTCTAGGTTTTACAGTTGTAAAACAATTGTAAAACTCTAAACTCAACTGTAAACTCAATTGTAAAAGCTATGACGCACTAGCTGAGCGTATGGGGTGCATAATAAAGAAAGAAATTGGAATTGGCACTGAGCAATGGTTATAATATAGACCGCAAAGGGTCGTCCTAAATGAAAATTAAATTGTATAGAGAAATGCTATACTGTATAAAATATTCTCCAACAAATATATTTAAAAATTTGAAAAATATTAATTTTACAACGAATTTTGACCAAAAACGGAAAATATAAAATATAACTGTAAATATAAAATTCCACACAACTGAAATTTAAAATATAATCATTCTATTGACATTTTTGACAAAGCAAATGTACGTAAATTTAATTTTTTTTAGCCAAATCAAATTACAATTACGAAAATAAAACATAAAAAGTGTTTTCCTACAATATTATTGGCAATGACTATAGAACAGGTTTAAATATAATTTTACTTTAATAGATTCTTATTCTATGACGGAAAATAAAACCTATAGATTTATCTAAACTTCCCCAAATTCACATGCACCCAAAATTTGCCAGTGCAGGCTACTGAATATATGACCCTGTATGACTATAACCATCCTGTGAGATGGGGACTCTTAGTATCACTGCTACCTTATTCACTCTCGTGTTCATTATGCACCCAGAGTTTGTCGGTGCTTATCACATGCCTCTGTATAACTAACCATCCTGTGTGATGGAGATTTTTAGCATCACGTAGGTAGTTTTTTTTTTACACACTGTGTACTTCCCTTCATATAGTCTAGAGTAGCTGCACAAATGTGTCAATAAAAAAATAAGAAAATTACGAATAAACTTTTATATATAAAATATTAGGGGGGTACCCCACTCCCCCTATCTATACTTGTCTATTTCTATTTCTACCTATCCTTATCTTTCTCACTCTAGCTACCCTCTATCTCTTTGTCCTCCTACCTCCACAAGTAGCCCTGAAATTATCTTATTTTTATCCATTCTAATTTCTTTTCAGTAACAACTCCACGTTAATTACACCCCACATTTCACACCTGACTATGAAAATAGCTTAGAGGTGTTTATTATAATTGCTAATATTTCTTACAGCATTTAACTTAGGCCTCCCGACTAGCCTATGTCCGTTCCGTACCTCATCCCCTGCAAATTTGGACAAACAAATAAACATTTTCTATATGTCTGTATAGATTTTCCTACACCATTTTTGGTAATTGATGTATAATATTAATAATTTAACTTGGAAATTTCACGAGCCTCCAGACAATATAGATAATGTAACAAACTAGGCTGTTGTAAGAATTATCCAGAGTGGTTTATCGACAAAAGAGAATGGGAAGCTGAGCCCGCATGGTGACCTGACCCCAGGGGATTCGCGGTGGAAATAACCAACGCTTTGTTCATAGCTGCGTATAATGAATCATCCTATAGTATTCAGTAATTTAGAGAAAATTAGCCTTTATTCATTTTGCATTAAAATTGTATGGTATAATAGTACTGGATACAATATCAAGAGTATTCTAATTATTGAGTTTAAGTCACCATCAGTGACGTCACGAATCAGATCTAACTTGTAAGGCGGAGTGACCGGCGGTCATAGGTCAGCAGGGTTGACAGGTCTACGATTTCTCAAAGTTTTAATAACCATTTTTGTGATCGGGAACAGCTCTGCCGTAGATGTTTGTGTAATTTAATTTCAGTAAAATAACTCAACCAGTCTGGATCAATTAAGTACAACAGAGGTTAATTGTTATAACTTAAACCTGGCTAGTAACTTTGTAAAACTTTACTAGGCGGAAGGATACAATGTTCTGTCTGGGGTAGACGAGACAAGGGAGAGATCAGTGTGGAAACGGGAGCAGCTGGGATAAGAGGTCAAACATCTTACCTCTCCCCAAGACCAGCCCAACATCTAGCGCTGGTCGCCCAAGGTATAGTTGCTATTGTTAATTATAGGGATAGTCTTCTCATTTGCCATTCAGGTCAAGTAGGGAGTGTTAAAGTGATAGGGAGTGAACATATTTAGATTTTGTTTTAGTTTTCTTTTAATAAATTAAATTTGTTATTAATTTGCATTTTATTGTTTCCATTTGGTTATGTGTATACTTGTCCTGGTCACGTGGTCCACACGAGGCAGAGTTGGATTGGGCGCCGATTCTAACATCGAATCATTCCCGTGTAATTAATTCCACACTCAAGGTCATCGGTTATAGTGGGGATCAAGCCCCTAGGTTGATTAATTAGCGTGATCGATCCAGACCTCGATCATTGCTCTTGTGTTACTGGTCTGGTGGTGGCAGCGTAGAGGCGACTCTAGGGTTTTGCTCAGAGCCTAGGTCACGTCATACTGGGTGTAGAATCCTAAGTCGGTCAATCGTCTTAGGACCACGTGGCGTGGAGTTGGCTTTGGTAAAAGTTTTGGAGTCCCTTGGTAGAGAATAAAAAGTAAGAATACGGGTAGAGGGAGTAGAAGGAAGAGAAGTAGAGAGAGGAACCCTAACCCGTGTTACAATAAAAGCACAACAAAACACCAAATATTTATCCATAAAGAATAGTGGGTTACGTTTAATATCTTTTATTTGATAAACATGTTTAAGCTTTCGTTAATTCCTACTCGTACGTCTTATAAGCAGTAAATGTATTCTCATTTATTATGAAACTTTGCATGCATGTTGCCGTATGGATTTGTGAGCCCCTTGAGGGACCTTAAATCGACAAGGGTAGAAATAACCTAAGCTACTCTGTCCTTTTGAGATGTGTTTCATTACCTCAATAAACTTACTTGAACTTGAATGTTGCCACAATAGAAATAACAACGCTCATGCAGTATTGGAAACGCTAAAACTGAACTCCGTCAAGTTTAACGATGTAGAATGTTGTTGTTGTGACCTAAATATGTTATGGATACTTCACTCACTGGTCAGTAGGTGCAGAGGAAGGTGCTGTTACACTACTTCAACTGGACTTCACCAGTGCCTGAGTTATGGTTTTACGCGGGTGAGTGTCATGTGATACGGTACCGTATAGCCTCATGTTTCTATGTGTATTTAGTGTTTGTATTTTATATAATGTATTTATCGTGTTTGTATGTGACTTTACTAGGTGTGATTCCGGAGGGTACGCTTTAGGTCTGGGTCCAGCATTTAATCCTTGGCTCGTCTGGTGTGGTTAATACCTACAGTGGGCAAAACAGTAGGCTCTAATCCAGATGGTTCCGTGCGAAACGTGTCTTTACACATAAAAAGAATGTTGAAGAAAAGTTTTAGTACAAAGAATTTAACTGGGAGCACCATCTATATAGTGGCCTCGGCGGGAACAATACCAAAATTCAGACATTAACCATGAGGGAAAACGAGTTTAGATACTGAAAAAAATCCATATGCAGTACATGAATTAAAACTGTGAGATGCATAGAGATTCAACAACAACAAATAAGTGCATGAAATCTTTGAGAAGTAGATATAATATTGAGAGAGAGAGAGAGGGGGGGGGGGGGTTCATGGATGTGTGGGGGTGAGTCAGGACGGCCACACAATGGAGAGTATCCGGGGTAGAGAGACCTTGTGTCACCGCCTCTAATGACCTCATCTCTCTCCAAACACACACAAACAACTACAAGTAAAGATACCTCCCCCACACAAGCACATAACCTGTAGCGCAGTTAGCAACCCAACCAAATGAACCCGGGTTCAATTCCTGTGAAGAACAAGGCGTTTGGGGGGCATTTCCTTGTTTACCTAACAATAATTAGATGGCAGCGAGTTATGTAATTGTTGTGGGTTTCATATTGAGAGGTCAGTCATTCTCATAGGGTGACCTTGACAAGTTTAACAAGTTTTCTGGCACCGACAACGCGAATCCTCCCCCTAAACTTCCCCCACGCACGAAACTTATATCTAGTCTACAACCAACAACCTCTTCCACATACATTACTGTGTGCTGATTCCACGGATCAATGTCCCTACGGCCCGATCTTTGACTAGATCTCCTGATTGATGATCTGGTCAACTAGGCTGTTAGACGCAGCTGCTCTCAATCTAATCTCTGAGTCACAGGCCGGTTAATCAGGTATCCTTTGGAGGTGTTAATCTAGTTCTCTTTTGAACACCACGAGAGGTCGATTAGTTATGCCCCTTATTCTTAGAGGGAGATTATTCAAAACTCTTGGTACCTTGATGTTGGTAGAATTGTCTCTTAGTGTACCTACTGCATCTGTTTGAATGGGCTATGTTGCACTTCCTGCCATGCTTCCTGGTCTCACGAAGAGTTATTTCAGTGTGTAGATTTTGAACAAGCGTAAATATGCATCCCTTTCCTGCGGTCTAGAGATAACAGTTTTAAACATTTTAAGTGGTAGCAATAATTTAAACGTTTTATTGAATGGATTGGAGCAGTAAAAGATCTCTGAGCGTTCTCCGGGAAAGCAATTCCTCTAGCTTTGAATGGGCTGTTATTGTGCACTAATAATATTCCCCCTAGAGAATACCAGTGCCTTAACGTACGATCATTGGTCTGACAA